TCAGAACAAAAAAAAGTGACCCTGGGCCTCGATCATTATTGACCATCGACGGGGCAACTGAATTGAAAAGATTAGACTGTGTTTTGTCAGTCCATGATGGTTATACTAACATTACCTGATCCAGTTCCATTAGTGTGAACCCCAAACCAGCCTTCCATGCTAATGTAAAGTTTGAGGAAAATCTTTGTTAATTCAACACGCCAGTTAATTCCAGCTTGTTATTGGAGTCACATTTTTCTCCACTGAAAGAGGAACGCGACCCTCTTTAAATCTGCACACAATTCCCTGCTAAGCCTTTTTTAATTTTACAAATAGCCTTGGGGTTCTATAATTCTTGTTGAACTTTTGCTCCAAGGTACATTTTTCTATCTCTGCCCCACTAATTGCTAGTCTGGTTGGCCCAATGTACAGTGTTTCGTTCTTGATGTCTACATACCTGAATTCAGCAATTGGACTTGTTCTTCCAACCCCTAACAGCACTTTACAGTATATGCTTAATGTACATTCACTCATTCCCACACACATTCTGGTTAGAGGATGTGTGTACCTGCTAAACCAATCTCATTAATTAATACGCTAGATTGGTTAAACACAAGGTGGTTTTTACGGGGAGTTTTGGCCCATTTTTCTTTATTGGCCGTGTGAAATTTATCCCATTTGCAAATAATCCCTTGTTAGAGGATACGTTTTAGTTTTTTAAATGCTTTTGTCGTATAGATGAATCAGACAAAATATATAGCGTGCAAATTGATGAGCTCAGGTTGTGCTTCTTGACAACTTTATTATCTAACTCACAGCAAGAGATACATTGTGTTTTTTTCCCTCTCCACTCATATGTGGATGAACTCAACAATAAACTGATCAGCAAACATCACTTCTTTGAGGTATCAAATTCCCATGGGGAAGTTATGAATTACAAAATCATGACTGCCAGACACCTACAAAAGAACACGCTGTCCTTTTTGGGCTAACGCCAAATAATAAACAGAACACTTTAAAGCCAAACACCTCTTCAGAATCCAGATCAAAATAAAGCCAAAGGATTTCTCAGAATGGTATGAAACGGGCAGAGACATGTGATCTTATCCGTACATGTGTCAGGAAATTATTTGGCTTTCACTCGCACGCAGTGTTGATGATAAGGACCCAATACCACTGCAGCAAGTATATCCTGCTAGACAGCAGCCAGATCACACTTTGTTACAATAACAGGTAGTTTGGACTTGTTTACCCGTCTGAGCTACGCCTGACTGACTCATTGGACCTCATGTGATTACTACATTCATACGTGCTGTTCTTTTCGGTCAAAGCAAAGACAGAAAGAACAATATTTAACCCGTGGCCTATTGAAACACCAGCACATGCCAGCCACATTATTAAAGAAAGTCAGTGCACAGTGTAGTGTCCACTAATGACTTGCATGTTTGTTTTTTTAACACCTGTACAACGTCTTCTCTCTGACTAATCCTCTTTTTTTCCATACAGGTGAAATTACAGCCTACTTTGTCATTGTTAGTCATGGCGCCAAACTGTTGTGTCACTGAGGATGAGTAAGCTACGCCATTGTTATATAAGTACGCTATGGAACCTTTTATTTTGGTTCAGTTCGTACCACTTACACAACTTACCTTTGGTCTGATTAGTGAATAAATGTATACAGTACATTAAATCACAAGTTCAATCAATGTTGTTCTCAAATTAAAAAACAGTTAAGACACATTATCTTTGCAGTAAAACACCCCAAGGAGGTTTATACCTTCTACTATCATGATAGGGGTATGTTTGTTTTCGTTTCAGGGGAAGTCAGAGTGCCCTTGCTATGTCAGCACTAGATTGAAGGAATCCCAGAAGGAAGTCAATAAATGCTGGCTCCATTAGTGCTGATGCATTTCTTTCAGCCACAATAAAAGTAATAAATGAAATTAAAATCTACAGCCATTGTCACTTAAATGTGACCAAAGTGTACGGGGAATGGCGTGCAAAACCTTCTCCTTTCCAACTTAGCTGTCGGACTATTCTTAGTTTGGCAAATGTTAAACTAATGTTAAACTAAATGGATGACTGTAGTAAACTTCTAACTTGCTTTCAGGACCATGTTAACATTTAGCTCAAAGCACCATTTTGCTTAAACAAAGGCTCACCAGATGCTAGCATCTCTTTAAAATGAGTGTTTTTTAAACAGCGGCTACATTTTTAGTCGTAGCAACGACCAAAGGTGGGTCACAGTAAATCACCCTACCGACACCTCAAAGAACACTAATCTCCAATCTAATTTGACCTTGAAAGACTAATCATTTATCAAACTCAAATGTACTTTGTGTTGAGTTCAATTCAGGACATGTTTTTTTTTTTGTACCTTTATTTAAACAGGTAAAATCAATTGACACAAGTGACAAAGACATGAAAAGAAATGGCTAAAAACAACATATTTAAATTAATAAACACTATCCATGAAAAAAGGCCGATGGCAGATGTTAACATGCTAAACCAAGATGATAGACGGGGTAAACGTTACAGGTCGTCAGCAGCATGTTAGCTTCCTCCCTGTGAAGATATTAGCATGCTGATGTTAGCGTTTAGCTCAAAGCACCACTTCAAAAAAGCAGGTCAAGTCTTGTTGAATGTACTAAATAGGTCTCTCTTTTTTACGTTTCTGTTTTGATTATAAATGTAAGTATGATCCTGGGAGTAAACGGCAGCGATAAACTGCTCTGACTCAATGTTTTAGCGAAATGTGAGGATCAACCTTGGGTCATAAGCCAGAGGTCAGTGCCCTCCACTGACCATCACCACCTGCCCCAGGGGAAGAGAACACTCTTCCAACAATTTAAATCCACTCATGGTGTTTCATGCTTTTATGGCTCTCTGTTTGTTTGTCTCTCTCTCTCTGCCTTAGGAGCCGGGTCTCGACACGGCAGCACCACCAGATTGCAACAGTGGTCAGACTGTCCTGTGCTTAAAGAGGATCTCTCCAATTACAAACAGAAGCGAGGAAGCCAATCACAGCGCCGTTCCTGCCTGAGTACGTCGTGCCAGGGTCAGACGGTTTGCTTTTTGGACACTGTGCACTGGGGGTTGGTGCCGGGATTTGGGAACATACAAAAGGTCTCTTGAATCATCACATTGCTGCTGCAGCCACATAGGGAGATATTTCACAGTTCCTTTCTGAGTGAGATTTTCTTCTTCTTTTTTTTTAAATATCCCTTCTACAGCTTCTTAGAGTTTTAGATTTGATTTCCTTCCAGTCTGTTTCTGCCTCCTTGTGCTTGACGTGCAGTGGGAGTGGACAAACACTCTGGGAAACAACCCTGTGAAAGAGGAACCGTGCCCTCTTGTCGGGCTCTTGTTAGAAAAGATCGCCAAAGCACCCCATGAAATACAAGAACACCACGTTTTTGTAGTGAAAGAATATGTAAAATAATACAGCCAGATGGCCTTCTGAATGTCGCCTTGCTCACACTGAACACTGGGAACTTTCTAGCGTGGGCTTTTGTGCACAGTGCTGAAAGTGTGCATTCATTCTCACAGCCGAACATCAGCTGCTGCAGGAAAGCAGATCTGATCATGTATCGGCACAGTGCATGTTTATTTTTATTCTTCATGAAAGTTGCTTTTTTTTTGTTAATTTGCCTTCAAGCTGAATGAAACAAAGAAAGAGACTAAATGTAGTGCAGATCACAAGAAACATTGTGTACATTTGTAACATGTAACTTGTTGTGTTCCTGTTCTGAGATAATACATAACATGGGTGCTGTTTATTTCCCGGAAACAGTGCGGCCAATTTAGTTGCATGGGGTTAACAGTGACATTCAAGCGTGTCCTGAGCTACTAATCAATAGAATCCGCTGGCTTGTTTTCCACGAGGACTTTGTAGCTGGTTACTTGCTACTATACAAACCAGGCTCGCTTCTGTCTTGTGAAACCTCAAAGTTGAGAGAACAGTGAAGACAACACATTGGATGGCTTTGAATCCAGCTGTCTGATGATGTGTCTACACGGAGCAGCTGTAAGACTCGCACCTTGAAATGAATAATTGTCTAGTAATGACAAAACCAGCATATCATGCAGCTTTGACTATTTCCTCCCCACAATGGTTCACTTGTCTCTGGCCGGAGGATCCATTGAAGAAGACACGGCCCGTGTTGGCAGACACCACATTGTTGCTCGGAGGAAGGTTTTGAGGTGAATTGAAGCTGCCATCTTCCAAATTTCTGTCCTACATGCATTTATACATTCAAAATAGTCGAGTATTACAAAACGCATTTGGGCAAGACAGCAATACAGTGAAAGGTATGCCTTTAATTGACATGCATGGAAGGACTTTGAGTTGCGTTTTAAACACACACACACACTACTTCAAATAACAGTCTTTGAGTGGCTGTGAGGTAGGGTTATTTTGCTTGTACGAAACTTCAGCAGGCTGAACCAATACTTTGTCAATTGGAAGCATTCAAGCTTTTTGTTTGTGCATTGACTCGTTGGCCAGTTGCCTCAGCACGCAAAAAAGGTAACACAATATAATTTAAACTATAAGGGACATCTCGCTGCAAAAATATCTACTGACTTGCCTCAGAGGAAAGCTTGTTAGTGACTTGTGTGCTTTTCTTCATGATTTCCTCATTTGTGACTTGAAACATGCAATTCATTATATTGAGCTTCACCTCCACACAGATTACAAAGATTATGAGATCATAAAGAGCAAATGCGTAATACTTCCTCACTGACTTTTCTGTCCAATAAGACCTTTAGATCTTTATTTGTTTTTTAACTTATAGTAGGTTCTAAAAAAGGATTCTTAATGGGCAGAGTGTATTAGTTGCATTCACACATTACAAAATATCTGCGTGGACAGGATGGGGACACGATCCTCTTCCTAAAAGGTCTCCGCAGTGCATCGACGTGCGTCGCCCGTGACATTCGTCCTCTGAATGCACGGGGCCGCACCCTTGGTGAAAAAACTTCCAAGTAACCCGTGCGCTCTGCCCGGTGCACTTGGGGACGCGCGGCGCCCAATGAAGGAGCGGCCGGTGCTGACGGTGCTGGCTGAGCGGTACCGCTCGACACGCCCCCAGCGTGGGTACAACGCGCAGGAGCGGCGCGCTCCGGAGACACGATCACTCTGCCGGGCAGCGTTGGGAGGCGCGATGGGAGTGAACGCATCCAAGTTTGCCGAGGTCCTGTCACCACCGTCGTTGCACTACTAGACAAAGACTTCTGGGGGGGTTTCTGTGTTTTTGTTGTTGTTGTTGTTTCCTCCTAAGGGGGGGCTTGTCTGCGTTTTTTTTTTGCCCGTGACGTGTCTCTCTACAGGATGTCGGCACCGTTGGAAAGCCGGGTGCGATCATAAAGTCAGCTCTCTCCTCCACGCAACGCCACCAGCGGCACACAAAGGGGAACCACGGAACAAGTTTTCTTTCGTTTTTTGTTTTTTTTGAATGTCACTAAGAAGCAGAGGGGGCTGTTTCAAAGACAAAATGGATCACTTTGCAGCAGAGTGCCTTGTTTCGATGTCCAGCCGTGCAATTGTTCACGCTCCTAAAGGGAATAGAGAGATAAGACCAGAAGCCGCGTCCTCCTCTCGGATCGGAGAGGACATTAAAGAACCTTTGGTGAGAGACAACTCCTCTCTGTTTGTGGTGGCGCGGATTCTGGCGGATTTTAACCAGCAGACTCCCAACAATGTTGCCGAGCAGGCAAAAATAAAGGATGAGAGCATGGCGAACCTCACAGATGATGGAATCTCTGCCACACCTTCCACCATCTCCGAGCCTTCGCTCAAACAAAGAGGCAAACGATCGCGAGGTCGGATTGAGGAAGACTCGCCTCAGAAAAAGCACAAATGCCACTATTCAGGTTGCGAAAAAGTTTTATGGCAAATCATCCCACCTCAAAGCTCATCTAAGGACCCACACAGGTCAGTTCCACTGAATGCAAATTATTTGGCTTATTTGACTTAATGGAGCTCCCCTCGGCTCAATGATCCACGTGAGAATGGATCATTGAGCCAATGATACGAGATGTGATTTCGCATTGTGTCTCTTTAAGTTGTGTGAACTTTGCGTAATGTCTTTTAATTTCGGCAGAGGGAGGTAGTCAAAACAGTGCCACTCCCACTCAAGTCCCTGAGCTTTGTCACCGCTTTCCTCTTACAACCCCCCCACACACACACTACCTCCCCCTCCCTCCCTCCCGCGTTGGACACTATGTACAAACCGAGCCTGCAGTGCAAACGCTCCTCTAAATGACGCGGATCAGGTTTCCCGTTTTTCTTCCGCGCGCATTCATTAAAGCCAACTACAAAGATACAACAATAAAGAAAAGAAAAAAACCGGCCACAGAACACGCCAAGTGTGCACAAGCATGCAGGCGAGAAAAAGTTTTCGACAGCGATCCAGCGGGTGCAGCGTGCCCCCCGCCCCCCCCCCGCAGAGCGGGGCGCTGCCCGTCGGCGCTGCGCTGCGCAGGACTTTGCTGAAGGAGCGAGCGTACCTCCATATTTGCGCTTTGCATTCCGACGGATGGGCTACAGAGATGGGGGACGGGGGGGGGGGGGTTGAGAGAGAGAAAGAGAGGGGGTTGACGAGAGCGGTGCAGTCGCCCGTCTGCCCCAAACGCCCTTTGTTGTGATGCGCCACACCCCCGCCAGACAGGCTGCCAGCTGATCTGGCCAGCAACAGACTCAGCTAGCTGAGCCTCGACTGAGGAGCCTCTCCTTCCCTCTGCTGCTCGCCCTCCCACCACTCTGCCCCGTTCTCCTCCCTCACACACGCACACACGCCTGTCAGCCCCCCCCCCCAAAAAAACACATCCCTCGTGTGAAGAACACCCACGTTTGACTCTTTTATATACGTTTTATTCTGAAGCAATATGTGCAATAATAGCAAATCATTACAATATTCTGAGAGCTTCTTGATATTGACCCTCTTTTTTGTGCACAAATCCACCTCTAGTTTGTCTCCATGTTAGAAATCAGTGACCCCTCCTTACATGGGATCCTTCTTGCCTCATTGCCTGTTCCTCTCTCCTCGTCTGCCTTTGTATTAGAATATCCTAAGACACGTCTGTTATATGGTGATTGTTTTTGTAGATTAGTCCAATGTCATTAATTCGTATTAATAACAGTATCACCACATCGTACAGTGGTGTATAGTCAGTGTTGAAACCCTCACGATCCTTCTGCTCCATGAGGGGTCTGTGTATCATTTTCAGATACGGTTTTTGCTCATTTTATGGGGGGGCGAGAGAATGGGAGTCATCTCAGTTTAGCTTCCTCATCTCAGCCAAACTTGCAGCAGCACCCACAGAGAGCCAGCCTCCGGTGCTCAGTGTGCTCCCTTTCAGCCTCCACCACGTGTTTTTAGAGCAGCCCCCCCCCCCCCCCCCTATAAGCCCAGCCCATGTCCCTTTGCCTATTAAAGCCTTTCCTTTTCGCCTTCCTTTCCGCTTGGATGTGCTCTGACGCCTGGCATCGGGATTGGTTTGTCTTCCATAAAATCTGACAATAATGGCTCCTTCTGCTCATTTGATTGGCCAGTCCGAGGACGTGGTCATCTGAGTTCACCCGGCCTTCCTTAGCCAATCTCGCAGTGCTTTCGCACAGCCAGACTCTCGCAGGGAGCTTCCTTTAAGCCCGACTAGCAGAGTCAGGAGAGAATGGATTGCAGCCCAGTCAGTGCCGGACAAACACAGCTATCTAATTGAGGGGGGGAAACACTGTTATTGACTCCAAACAAAGAGCCAGGGATAAGGCGTCCTCACCCAACTTCTTTAGCGCTCAAAGCCTTTTGTGTGTGTGTGTTGAGTGCAAGAGGAGCCAAAACATGAGCTATTGTATTTCTTATGCAACGTCTACAGCACATCAGAAAATCCATCTAATTAAAGACTTTACTCACTTACAGTGTAACTTATATTGTGGTTCTAATACCTATCTTTTTTTTCAAGCTATATTAGAAGTATCCTTTTCCATTTCATAATGATGCTATGAAGGAAGATGTTTGTTTCCTGATCCAGAATCAGTCTATTGCATATAATCATTTGTGAACTGAGGGTCAGCGCTCCTCAATTACATTAGCCAGGAAGATAGTTGTAACTTAATTTCCCTGCTGCTCCAATATAAAAGTGCTTAAAAATAAACTCAACAGCAATGTGTTCTTTAGGAATGATCATACTGTTCAGCCCACAGACCTTGTTGTCAACAATTTTCATTAAAGTTCCCTCACAGTGTAAGAGGATTCAGCAGACATGAGGGAACACGCTGAATTTAAACCGCTCATTATACTGCATTGAGTTGATGACATGGAATGTCCACAGTTTGGGCCTCTAAGGCTACCAGACAGCTTTTGTCTGGTCTCCTAGTGTGGGAGGGTGGGGTGGACACTTATCTTCCAGGATGCATAATGACGTCATTAAATGCAGATCATCTCGGTTTTAAATTGAAAAAAATGAAGGGCCAATTTAACACAGACAGAATTACATTTAATGTTCCTGAAGACATTTCTCAGCACGAACTGGATTCTTCTCAATCATTCTTTGGCAACTTTTTGTCATAAGAAGCGCAACCGACTCCTAACGACAAAGACCCACTTTTTCAAGAGTTGTTCTGTGGTCACCAAGTACATGGCGTTCTGTGTGAAGCCTCATTACTCTGCCCTGGTCTCCAAAGGAGCGATGGCCCCTGACACACTCATTACAAGCCCCCCCCCCTCCCCCCACAGCTGGGCCTGACAAAAGCCCATCTTGTCAGTGTCCGGGACCTATTTGAAATCTATTTGAATCACCGGGACGAAAAGGGTACAATATCTCACAGAGACAAAGAGCCTTAATGACATATTTTACAGTTGGTTTGCCATTTTGTCTGGACCTCTTTTGTGTTCAGCTGGGGGGTACCTATAATACTACGAGATCTCTGTAAATCCCTCCTCTGTCCTGAAAGAAAATAAGCGGCACCACCTGGCAGCCCGGTTCCACTGCCATGTAGACCCAGTTATTCATCCATGCACTTTATTTTCAGCCAAATAACTGTGGTTAATCACACTTTTTTCAAAACGTGAAATTATCCAAAATTCCACACGAAAAAAAAAGAAGCGGGTCTCTCTGATTATATATACTGCATCTCTGCCAGATGTTTTATATTTGGCTGCACTGCTACACAGAGCGCACAGTGTTCCTGTGTGGCTGGTGGCACTGATGAGGTAGTAGGGCGGAGATGGGGTTTTCCTGCTCTTGCTTGACCTTGGCAATGGGTGCAGAGTCTACTGAGGCACAAGAGGTCAGTCTGTCTACCTGCCACACGGCAGGATTTCCACCATCCCACCCACTCGAGCACGATTTCTCCTGATGTGTGATAAAACGACGACCCCTCCATCAGGATATGCTCACTGTTTCCATTTATCCACATTCTGATGACTTAGCAGTTTTATCCACCACTGGGGTCTAGGCGTATGTATCTTAACATCTATTTAATGAAGTGCAATGCTTTTTGTACAGACATTCATGGTCCACAGAGGATGAACCTCACCGACTTTGGAGATTTTCTCATCACCTGCTAGCAAGACAGTTTTTACTGGCCATTCTTTCCAAAACTGGGTATAGACCCATATAGTTCCTTCATGAGGAATCCTAAGGACTTTCGTGATCCCCGAGTATTTTATTCCATTATGAGGTTGAGGTATGACATTTTTGGTTGAGGTAAAAATTAGAATTTGTTCCAGTACTTTGGGTTATTACCAAATACTTGCAAAAACCCACACTGCTCCAATTAAGCTTAATCATCTTTTTGATTAGCGCTAATTAGTAAATGATACCAGTCTAACAACTTCTACTAACTCTGGCAAGTTTTACCTGCTAAAAACCATCATGTCAACATTGTCGTCGTGTTAGAGTGCTGAAATGAACATTTAGCTCATTTTTCAATTTAGTATAATAACATTCCCACCGAGCTGCTTCTGCATCCATGTAGTTTTCTTATTAATTTGTTTCTGCAGTAAGATAAGAAGTGTTCCATGTGAATTAAGTCTGGTTGGCCCATGAAGGCAACGTTTAGCAGTACAGTATGTTACCAATGCCAAAAAGGTATTAGTTAAATCTACTTTATCCTTGGGATGTAAATAAACCAAACTGGAGCCCCCATCTTGCCTGCTTTAATCTTTTACTGCAGCGTTCCTGCTCCATGAAGACATCTCTGAGGCTTGTGCTGGTGCACATGCTTTCCATATGCTTTCCTATAAAGGCTCATAACGCTCACAGTAGGATAGTTCCTCAGTAATGTTGGAATGTAAATCTAATATAACAGATTTAACAGTGAAGCGTGCATGGGGGTTAATCCTAATACTAATAGGCCTCTACCAAGCAGTTAGCCGGCGTTGTCGCTTTCAGTGGCCCACAAGGCTCATGTATTCTTACGTCAGCTTTGCAGAAGTTCCATACCAACTGCTCTGTCTATTTCCCACCGGCCCACCCCATTTTCTCCATGCTGCATAGCGAAATAGGTGCAGAAGGCTTTTGTGTTGTGAGGCTGAGCCACGGCTTGCAGCGAGGTGTCGATTACCAGTGGCAGGATAAGAGGGATACAGACCTGTGGAACACTGTGGATTTTTTCACGTGTCCTGTTCCCCGACCGCATCTCACATGCAAGGCAGGGATCCGCAGCACAAAGATGGAGAGTATACAGTGTGGCAGGGTGGGGGTGGGGTAAGATACCCGGTTATTCACTGTCAATGCCCTCCATTGATGTAGGTCATTTATTCAGCTGCATTTGCAGCTAATCTGATTAACGTTGGAAAGGCTGGGACCTCTGCGGCAGAGAACACCCTGTCAACCCGGCACTCACAGAGTCCCATCTGAGCGCTAGTCTCTGACTGTAACCACTGTGCTCCGCTCATCTGGAATGAGACACGAGTGGCTGTGGAGCTAATGTCGGAGGGAGTGTTTTGTCTCCAGTTGGGCATGTTATGCTCCCAATGGTACGTGAGGTGTGTCCCCTTTCTCTGCGGGATTAATAGGACTATGGCACACCATGACAAAAAGGTGTAGCCCTTTGCACGAGATGAGGAGTATTCTGTGGGGGAAGGAGGGCATAATCATTTTTTTCTGTTAGACATGGAAATATCTCTCCCACTTAATGCATATAACATCGGATAGCTGGCGCCAGCTCTACCCGCTATCTCGTCCTTTCGCAGTGTGGTGAGGCCTCTTGCGATCTACCGGGGCGATGGCTCTTTGTTTGATGCTGGTTGATGTCTATCTATCACGTTTGAGCTATGGTGTCAGACACCATCAGTGGAATGAGCTTGAACCGAGAGTCACGGATGATAGGGCATCTCTCCTCCAACTGTAAACAGCCATTAATGGCTGCTGCGCGTCCTTGGTTAACCAGGGTTTAAAGGACAAGGTGACTACCTGTTACACGTCAAGGTTGCAGGTTGTTTTAGCACGCACTCAAGGCTGGAAGAGCGGGACCACTACCGCTAATTGAGGCAAACGTGATGAGCTTGTCGATATAGTCGGGGTACCCCGACCTTTCCCATAAAGACTTAAGGGGATGAAGTGATGCTTAAGTGTGCGCAAGAATCAGACGGTCACGCCCGACCCAGCTGCGCGTCTCCGGGCAAATGTCAATAGTCCTGTGCAGTGCAGACCGAGAGGAGTGAGTTACGTTTAGTACGCTCAGCCTGTCTGATTGAAATGCATTACAGGAGTGCCTTTTCTTGCTGGGAGGTAGGTAACGTCAGTTATTGTTCACGGTCTTATAGCCACGGAAACACAAAGGGCAGCACGCTATTCAAGGGAAAGCAAGGTCCCTCAATGAAGACAAAGGGTGATAATAGATCAAGTTTTACCTTCTCTATCACGAGCACCTGAACCAACTCAGGATCCTCTATTAATCCTGCAGTGTTTTTCATCTCCACGGACCACACGACTTTGGAAAGCTTGTCGTTAGTTTAGCACAAGCAAAGCCTGCATACGTTACTGCATGAACTGCGAAAAGATGAGCTGCAAAAAGCCATAATGTACATCATGGTTTATGCTGATGAGGGATGCCCTCATGTTAGTATTACTCAGAATCCCGTGAATGGTGCTGGCTTCTGGTTGCTTACAGGTCATAAAGTCTGCTGTAAACATGCAACCATATGCGGAGCTCTACCTCATGCTGCCAAGCTGACTGTGGCTGGCGCTGAACTGGGGTAACTCCAACTCTAACAAGTTGTGATCTAAAGTCAGTCTCCAGTTTTACTTTCCCTGCTCCAGCGGTGTCCTTGCAAACGTCTCTACCGGTTAAGCTTGGCCCTCTGTAAGAGATATTTCCTTCTCTGGTTCTCACCATGAAGTCAACTTCAAGGTGATCTCGTATGTACCCACAAGAACTGTATTTGTTCCCCTCCTCACCTTATTGACTCTAGCTCTCGTATGGCAGGCTCACATGAAGTTTCCCCTGTACTCTGTGTGAGTTTGGCCCGTGCCTGTGGACAAAACAGGAATGTTATCTGCTCTGGTTTGAAATGCCGGTTGCTCTTGTTGGAGCAGGTGACCGAGTAGAGTTCCTGCTCACGTCAAAGAGAGATTTGATCTCCCTTCTGCAGAAAGCATCCCTTACAAACCTCGGATTTCATTTCTCCAAACCGTTTGTGCAGAAACCAAGGAGACAAAAAAAATGTAAGGTATGAATGACATGAAGGATGAGAGAGGAGCAGAGATGAATGAGATGTTTATTTACTGAGCCAGTGGCCTTGGAGAGAGCAGTCACAGGGTGCTGCTTATGCCACAGGTACGCTTGTTATATAAGAGTACCTGTGACATAAGCGCATCGCGTTGGAGAGGGGACACTAGTGCTTAGTAGAGATACAGTTTGGGTGCATGATGTAACTGACTTTATGGGTAACTGGGACACTGTGTTCGTTAGGGAACGGCTTCCTTCATTACCTCCCCACCCCTCGCTCCCTGCAACTGACGTATTCGGAGAAAAACAAAAAACTACCTGGATGTGGACGCTGCCAGAGACGACATAACCGACCAAGCCTGGCATCACGGTCGCCACTGTGTCCTACTGTGACAATACATGATGGGAACACGAGCAGGGTAGGGGGAGCAGTTCATCTTTGTCTTTCAACAGAGAAGATCTGCAATGTATTAAAATACCTTAGAGAGATACATCCTTCTACCACTGAGGGTAATAACCCCCATGATCATTTCTACTCTACTCTACTATTATTCCTAAACCTCCTCATTGTTAACATTGTTTTTACTGCTGTCATAGAATTAAAAAAACACTATTTTTTGGGGTCATTACATGTTTTGTCAGTGAATCTTTGACAAGGTTGACATTAAAGCAGCATGATTTTTGATACATATTCATATTAGTGACCTAAATGCCACAAATTGGTGGGAGGTAAAAAGGTCACTGTGTCAGTTAATTCTGCATTTTCTAAGAAGTCACTGAGCTCTAAATAATTTGATGCGTCTCGGTGAGTTTCTCTTTGATACCTGATGCTTTCACTATGACTGCGTTACTGTATCAGGGCAGTTGGGCTGGATATCTCAGCCTAGCTCTCTGGTGTCTGGTTAAATATTAATGTAGTTGGATCCGTTACACTGGTTATTGAGCCTTGAGCAGCCCGCAGAGCTTAGCTCCACTTTTAGCCAATAACTCATTTTGCAGCGCTAATAAGGTATGAAATCCAACTATCATGAGGCCCTTTAATAAGATTAGTGTCTTAAAACATAAATTGCATCCTTTACTTTAGGGTTCACTCCAGGAATTGAAAACAGGATCAAACAACTACCGCCTCCTTTGTTGTTATGAGTTATAACTCGTGCTGCTTAGATGGATTTGTTCTTTGTGTGTTGGCGTGTGAAGCAGATAGAGAACATCGTGGCTGTCGAGGGGGGAAAAGGGGGCAGGGCTGCGTGCAATGTGTGTGTATGCAAATGTCTTTATGTCAGTTACAGAGTTTACATACATTTAGCCCGCACAATGTGTAGTGGGCGGGGCCAGCGCAGTTTGTCTGGCACTGAGGCGTCAGCGGCAGGAGCACAGACTGTTCTGTCTGGACCTGCTCTGTCTGTTTTGTAACCATGCAGTGTGTGTGGTGGGGGTTGGAGTGCGGTGGGGTGGAGAGGGACAAGTTGTACGCCGAGTTCTTGTTTTTGAGACTCACAGGCATCAGGTACTGTGACTGTTTGATGCAGAGCAGCACTGTTTCCATTGTCGCGATGAAGGAAACCACAGAACAAAAGAAGTGTTTTGCAGGCGTGGTCTTTTGTACTTGTCGTGCCTCTTATAAACATGCACGCTTCTCAGAGTCTTTTCTTTTTCATACCTCAAATCCCCGGCATGGGCGTGCACTCGATGATTGACTATCCTTATTCTCAGGAAAGTGCCATAACATTAAAAGCGCCACCCTTCAATATAGTACTGCAAGGTCACGCCGGTAAAATTAGAATGCTGGATGTTGCTATTGTCAGGCAGAAACTCACTGAAATGGAACTAAATGGAATACAGTATTATTCATGTTGGCCAGTTGGTCCAGAGGCTGCGTTCATGCTCCATGCATACTGTTTCAGCATGGAAGAAAACCACAAGATATATAGTACCATCTGGCTTTAAGTAGATTTGTATCAAAGCCCACTTTTACTGCCTGATTGAGCGGGGAAGGGTGTAATTTCCCATGTGTCGAGTCACAGATAGTTGCACGTTTAAAAATGGGCTGGGTTACCATCGTGAGGGTGATTAGCATCTGGAGCTTAGATAATTATACTGCGTCAGCTCCTACAGCACAATTCCATTTTTTTGTTGATTTGAAGTTTCATGTCTCAGTACAGCCTTCTTTTAATCTCTCGGGTGGTTTTATTATTAGCCTTTGCTTTACTGACCTTGTTACCAATATCCTTTAATGACTCAGTCTACTCTGCACAGAAAGCAACAACGTTCTTCTTGACTTGTTAACGTGTAAAGAATTCGTAATGATTGTGTATTTTCTTGTTTTAAAATAAAGGTTTGATTGATTGACAGACTGCTTTCACTGTGGGGAGCATTTTGGATCATGGTGAGCACCAGGGTGCATCACAGAGATTCCTTTGTTCCATGTTACGCTCACTTACACTATCAATATTTTGTTCTTGGCGTATTGTACACATGTTCTGGCCCATCTACTTCAAATCACTCCTACTTTACATTCTTGCGTACCATTCCTCCAGGAATAGTTGATTTTTAGATTTTCAGTTTCCGTTTTGGCTGTTTCATTCCAACTTTTCTCTCCTTCATCACAGTACTTTGTTGAGGTCAGCTTGCCGGGACTCATAGTTAATTCAACATAATTACCTAGCAAGTGGACGTTGTGTCAACTTTTATTTATTGTGACGTTACAATGTCACTTTTGTTACACCAATGTCACTGTTACTTTTCCATTTCAAAGCGTAGAAGGAATCACTTAAACATCCCAACAAAACGATGACTGCATGGGATGTGACAGAAGTGTGTTGTAGTTAAAGAAGCAGACTAAATGATAAAACCAAATTAGGGTTGTTGTTCATATTTCCATGTTGCTACCTTCTTGTGTGATTCAACACTGAAGTCTCCCCTTTCCATGTGTGTGTTACAGGAGAACGGCCTTTCCCATGTACTTGGCCCGACTGCAGTAAGAAGTTCGCCCGGTCGGACGAGCTGGCCCGCCACTACCGCACCCACACGGGGGAGAAGAAGTTCGGCTGCCCGCTTTGCGACAAGCGCTTCATGCGCAGCGACCACCTCATGAAGCACGCGCGCCGCCACTCAGATTTCCAGCCCGGCATGCTGAAGAGGCCCCACGGCGGAAGCATCACGCGCCCCAGCTCCCTCAGCGACTACAGCCGCTCGGACGCCTCCAGCCCCACCCTCAGCCCCGCCCTCAGCCCCGCCATCAGCCCCGCCAACTCGCCTTAAACTGATACCCAGTCGCACTTTCTGCCTCTGACCCACGAGGCCTGCGTTTTTTGTCCTAACACTTGTGTTGCACAGTTGTCGGCAACCACCCTTTGCTATTCCTGCGCTTGCTGTGGTGTACCATACTGTACATAACTGCTTATTGTAGTGCAATTACTCGTGTGATCCTAAAAGAAGGTAATGCCTTTCCCAGATGGCGATATTTACAGTCTGTACCATATGTCTGTATTTTTTTAGCTTCTGATCATGGCTAGTTGTCCAATGTATGTTCTCAGTCAGCTGAACAAGGTTTAGAAGAAAAAAAACAGAGACAAGGCATATCGAGATGGGGGTTTTCGTTTGGAGAAGGGGTACACACACACCTCAGGATTGAAGACATTTCTGTAATACCACAGTACTTCACAGTACTCACATCGACTGCACAATATACTCATCACTTTACGCTTAATTTCAACAGGGGTTGAATTTTACGCCCTGCTCAGGGATGGCCTTGTTAGCTTGAAAGAATGAACACGGTAAAGAGAAAACATACAGTACATATATAGCAGCCTTACACTCAACACAATTTTGCACTCTGTTTTTTTTTTTTTTTGTCGAGAAAACTAGCCCTATTTCAGTCAATCGTGCACAGAACGTATGTCCTCGTGCTCTGGAGGGTTCATACGTAATGCAATTGCTGTGTGTTAACAAGACGATCCCCAAACCTACACCTCAGTAAACAAAAATACATCTGTTCCTCCATTGCAACGTCGTTGCCATGACACTGGGTTGAATATGTATTTAATTAAACAGTGCGTACTGTGTAAATCTGCATGCTGAGAGGATCCGGGTTGTATTGCGTTCACAGTTTTACTCAGTTTAACAAACTTTACAGCCTCTAAATAGAGACAGTTGTAAAGCAGCTGTTTGTGCTTTCTCTAACGTCTATATCAAAATAGACGCAAAGGCGACTTTAGATAAATCAACGTTCATCCTGTCTAAAGCACATTGGGAAAAGGACCAAAGACAAGAGTGAATGAAAGCTTTCTATTCAGTCTTGTAAGCTGCCCTTTATTGAGCTGGTGGTTGGTTGTATCAAAGGTAGAACCAGACGGCGTGCTTGCTTCCCTCCTAGTGGCTCTTTTGTTGCCTCCCTTGAGGTAACGGCTGTATCCCTCAAGAAACTATTCACAGAGAGCGTCCATACGTTTTTCCACCCCCCGCCCATCTGGCTCTACCTGCCCTGCCAGAGAGAGGCAAAGTTTATCACAGAGGAGAAGACACCCAGTTGCAGAGACTGCAGAGACCCCCATCTCCTCCTCCTCCCTCCCTCCAACTGTAGATGCCATGAGTGAAACATGGCTTTAATTAGCGGGTTTCTTACAACTTGTAGTAAAAGAGTACGAGGAGAAGTGTATGATCAACATTACTACCTGAACAACGGTAGCAGTGTGAGTGCGACGTACCAAACTCCCTCCTATGCACAGGGGGAAATCCTCTAGTGCTGGGGAGTCCAATTTCACAATGCCAAGGAAAACGTTGCTCCAAATTCAGCGATGAACCACAGCTCTAAAACAGCTGCTTTGAAACTTGTAACAAGGGGGCTTTTAAACTGTTGTAAAAACATTTGAACCAAAACCAACATATCAGCAAAGTGCAGTGCTCCCCGGCCTCACGTCGTCCTCCCTGTGATCTCAGATGTCCCGTGAGAAAGAGGAGTTGTGTTTCTAGACGTACACGCCTCAATAAGTCAGGCAAAAGGCGCAGTGAACCTTCCATGAAAGTGGGAACCACTATCAAAACGGCTGCAGCCCGGCCCGTGTTATGCAAACATTTTCTTTGAATGCTTCGGCATTATGGCCGGAAATGGTTGCATCCGTGTGTTTGTCCCCGTCGGACCCCTCCAGACTGTTGTCCTCATGAATGGCATGTGCCGGCTTCATTCGAACAGGAACTTCTGCCCTGCAATCCAGTGCTTCACACTATATGCATGTTAACAACTGGGCCTTGGAATCACAGAGGGTTTTTGAGGCGATCTGGCAGGTGTAAGTGCATGAATGGCTGGCCTTGTCCTTCGTTCTCCACAGCAGAAGAAGAATAAGCTCTGTCACATCCTCCAGAAAGAAAACATCCCTTATTTGGATCAAATGCAGTAGTTTCCTCAAAACACCTCGTTTTAAAATGAAAGAAAAAAACCCTGTAATGTTCAAATAGTTTCCAGGTTGTGAGATGACACTTTGAATGCCACTGATCAGCAGCTATTGGTAAAATCAGCACTGAGAGGGTTTTACGTTCACCATTTCTGGAAAGAAAACCTTTGATTTTCACAAACAAACTCTTCAACTGGCTGTTGAGCAGCTTTTGTGGTATCTATCGATGAATTTTCTTTTCTTTGTTATAGTCAATTTCTGACATGGTTTTTAGTGTAACTTTCTCTTGCAAAAAAAAAAAAAATACTCTGAGTATCTCACCGTCAAGCAGGTTTCATGAATCACTTTCTTAATCCATAATCTGTACATTTACCTCAGGGTTGACATCCACAAAGCAGATATGGGACAGTTTGTGGACGCTGTTGTAACAGTCGCTGCACAGACAATTCTGCCAGGCTCCCCCCACCAGTGTTCCCAGTGTTCCCAGGGGCTTGGTGCTCACTGCTGGTCGGTGTGTGACCACATTGGAAACACAGGAACGCCTACTACAGTCCTGACATGTGCCTTGGTAAGCACCGGGCACTCTGGCGCTCTTTTCAGTGAAACGCCCCTTTAAACACCTTTGACCCTTTGGTGTCAGTGGACTTGCAGCAGGCAGGAAGCTCCTACCATCTGAAAACAAGCCGACTGTGACAGTGTAAACATCCCAGTCTATCCATCCATCCAGACTGACGCAGTGACATACAGGCCTCCGCAGGCACGAGTGTCTCATAACTTTTATTCTCACTGTACAAAATCTACTTGAATAATTCAACACAAAAGGCCATTGAACACAGTTTTGTACATGTCCATTTTTACTGTACTTGCTTTTGTTGTCAAATAATTATTTAGAAGGGTGTATGGTCAGATTTATTTTGGTTTCCATTGTCTTCAGGTAATTTCAGCATCTCTTTTGTATATACAGCATAAGGTTGAATCTTTTTTTCCCGAGCTGTTTAAAGACCCAATATTTTGTTAAAAATAATACATTTATCCCTGTAAAAGGGGTTCAACCCCTTTTTATCAGAAACATGTTATACTCTTGATGTCGGGATACGGGTTATTCCAGTTAGCCTGTTATCCAAAAGTTCCTCCAAGTCAGAAAATGAAAGCACTGTTTGGGTTGATGAATTTCCTGACTTTTATGTTCAACAAATTTCAGATAGAGTGATTCTTTTTTTTTCTTATTTAGATTATTTTAAAGGTGTTTCCATAAGAATAGAGACCACAGCATTGTGAATTTGCAATGTAGTCTTCATTTTGTATTATTGTTTTTTTGTCTCATATAAAAATGCTTGTACATTTTTCCAAAATCATACCTCTTGAAATATTCGAATTTTGTTGTAGCTTCATATCTTTTCAAAACATCCATCATGTAGCCTACGTTTGCTTTAAGAGTAGCACAAATAATTGGTGGTTTTATTTGTCCCAACTTGAATGAAGAAAGAAAGGCAGAAAAGAAGACAGAAAGAATTTAAAGGGTTTTTTTGGAAAACAAAGAAACACTGGGCTAAATTTTATATAATCATCCCATGTTGTCAGGGTCTTGCACATCCTCATAGATACCACATGTAATCTTTCCAGGAAATAATAAAACCGTGTTCTTATTATTTTATGTTACACAGATATTTAAAACACCTCTCCTCTTCTCAGCTCCATATATTTAAACATTATCTACATGAGGGATGATGTTGGCTGGAAATTATTTTGAAACTCTACTTCAGCATCTTGTCATCAAACTGAATGATTGTAATCCCAGTAAAATGACAGATTCTGACATCTGACAAAGAAAAAATTTTTTTAAACAACAACAAAATGGAAATACAAGGTTTACCAGTTAATATTTTTTCTCCTTATTGTAAATGTATAAAGTGAATTGGTTGCAGCAAAGTATGTAAAGAACTAACATAAATCTTATTTTTTAAAATCATATTAGTTACATGAATCAGATCGTCTCATCTTTATCACTGGTGTCAGTGTACAAGCATGATTGATGCAATTGTGTGCCAAAACTAAATGGTAACTTCATAAAGATTCAAAAGGTAAAAACATCTAGATACTATGAGACATTTAACAAACTTGTACAGTTTTTTAAAAGTGTGAAATGTTCTTATGTAATGTACAGGAATTACAGAAGCAACTCTGCATATTTGATATGCAAGTGCTCTCTGTTAAATAATTATTTTGGCTTTATGTAAACAATTTGATTGTGTAGCTTTGTTTTCATTTGGTTCTTGTTATTTAATTTTTGCGTCTTTTTTTTGCTGTACAATATTCTAGCAATGAATAATGGCTTGTTGCCGGTATTTTTTGACATAAACAATCTTAGTGATGAAGAACGCCCGACCATTCCAAAGGATTGAAAATTGCATTTGCTATAAATGTGCTGCTTTCGTGGACCCGATGCATTTTTGTAGGTTATGAATCAAAGTCTGTCTTGACTGAGGTTTTACACATTGTGAGTTGTGCACAAGGTACGTTTCTCATTGTAAACATTTCCCAGGTTTAATCTCTCCTTTCTCCTCTGTGGGCTCTGTAGGCTAAGCCAATTTGAATGAACAACATACATGCAATATTTTAGTTAAGTATTATAATATGTCATATTTAAAAGACCAGGACAAACCGATGCACGTCCTGTCCTCCCTTGTAACAAAACGCCAAGGCTTGGGGAGTAAAGTTTTAGGAGGAAGCCATGATAAGAGAGAGAGAGCAGTTCTTCCCAGTAAGAAGGAGCTTTTAGTTCTCACAGCGCATCAGAGGCTCCACCGTTACAAGTTGTTACCAAAGGCTATGAAGGGAAAGATGAATGTGGCAGTAACTTTGAACCCAACCCGGCTTGGACATTTCAACGTTACATGCTGTAAGTGTCGATTTATGGATGTTGTGCTTGATATGGACCTTTTTCTACATCTCAAATCAAAAACTTTGTTTTCTTTCTTTAAAAAAAAAATACTTTTAAAAGTCACCTGAATGAACGGAACCTGTTAAATCTTATGAGAAAGGTAATTCTGGTTGAGCTAGAAACGTAGAGTAGAAACGTGCTGGGCAGTAAACCACATCTGCTTGTACCCTTCACTGAGCATGTGGTCTTGCTTGTCTGCCCAAACTGACACTGTGCATCATCTGTTCTTTACTGTCGACGCCCATGCTGACAGAAACGTCTCCTGCTCAAGCTTCGGATGTTGTTGCCCTTAAAGGATTAGTCGGTTCCAGGTTATGCAGCACACAGCGCTGTGAATGACCTCCCTTTAATTGCGAAGAGAGAGCCACCCGCCGGCCTTCTGGTTACGGTGTCCTGTACCTGTTTGTCCTCGGCGTAGGTCCTCGGTGTAATGTTGCTCTCTTGATACCTCTGTGTGTTTGTCCTCTGCCCATCACCATCAGTTGCCTGTTGTAGTGACTCCATGGTGCTGCTTCCCCTTTCAGCATCGGTATAATCTAATCTGTAAATAACTCTCGACTCAGCTATGGCCAGTACATTTACTTATGACCTCACTCTAACCTTCAGGTGTCATGTATGTTTTCTCTCTCAGCAAACCAAAATCACTACATTCAAGTATTACAGTTGTACAGTTCCTCGGATTCTACACACATCTAATGTGCTGGTCTTAGCTGCTCTGCTGTACCTTTTTATGGCATTATTTTCTACATGTTAGACAATATATTGTGACCATGTCCTATGCAAATATGAAAAATAACAGATTGTTGAATAATGTATGTTGTCATAACTTGTATGCATGATATAGTGAAGTTTACATTTGGAAATAAATTCATAAAATAAGCATCTAAAATTTTTGTACTCATTTCCTTTTCTGTTGAAGAGACACAGTAAGGTTTGCTTAACTTTTGGGATAATGGTTAATGCCGAGTCAGCCTTTTAGTGCAAGGAGAGAGAAGTAATTCAAACATTTCCTACAAATGATATAAATAAGATGCAAAATATGAATCGGTGAACTTCAGAGGTGTTGGTAGGCTGATTTTGTTAGCTCCGGTGTTCGTCTATTTAATGCCATATTTGTATCAGACCCCTTCCGGAAGGTTCCCTGTATATGACCGAAAGTGCAATAAACATTAGAGCAGAGTTACAGCAGAATACTTTATAAATGGGTGGGGTAACATAACTCAGATAGTGTGCCACGTGCTTTAGAATTATTCTTGTAACAGGAAGTACACCGTGTTCCCTCATTTCACCCATGCAAATATTTACAGTAACTGCCAGGGTATCAACAATGGGCAGGGCACCAAATGCTGGGGAGTCCTTCCTTCCCTATTGTATTTCAGACCAGATAAACTGATAAATTGTGTGAGGTTTCCTGTGTAAACCCAGTGCACTTGCAAACACAGACAAATGGTTGATTGACGACCAAATGTAGCTTCCCGGCCAGCAAAGTGCACTTTTAAAACCCCCGCGCCTCACAAAAAGCAGTTTCTTACTCCATCTGTGCAGCTTGGCAAAATCACATCCATCATACATGTATCCCTCCCCCTCAGCCAAGTGCTCCCACCAACACCATGCAGAGACTTCAGGTGCGTCCTCTGCCGCTCCATGAAGAATCACGCCATGTGCAACGAGACGGGAAGGAAGAGAAAAACAAACCCGTTGACATTTTCCGACGAGAAGCCGGGTGTTCTCTCTGTGCTCAATCGGTGCTCCTCCTATCTGCCGGCAGGTCGAAGCAACGCACACCACGCTACACAAACAGACAAGCTGCCACCCCTGGCACCACCACACAAGTCGGTTTGCCATCACAGCCGGCATGTTCCCAGAGCTCGCTTGCTTCACATGTTATGTGGCAACATGAAAGGAATTCAACGTCGCTCGTTTTCACGTGTTAATATTTAACTCATTTTTATGTTTCATTGTCGTAGGCTTGTCAAGTAAAATGGGACGTTTTTGAAAATGGAGCCTCTGGACGCTCCGAAGACCATATTGTTGAAATAGAAGAAAGATTTCGGTGGTTGTGTGGCCGGGTCACTCTCTGGGTTGCACGTCTTCAATCGCGTGTTCATTCTGCAGATTACACATTTCCTCCCTCGTAGTGTGTTATATTACAGCAGAAGAGGAGCAAAGTACACACAGGCAGTGAAAGCCATCTCAGCTGGTATCAACCTGCAGACAGGATGTGGGAGGAGGGTTGGTTTCAGTTTGTCGGATTTAACTCTTCACTCACTCACCTTTTCTTGGGATTATAAACTCCTGAGCGATCTCCATTTCGCACGCAGAAAAACTCAGCCATGAGTTATTTCGGATGAATTGTCCGAGGAAAAGTACTTTGTGTGAGAGGACGAGGATGAGAAGGTGGGTGTATGGTAGTTATCCGGTGTACCAAACCTAGACACACTCAAAGTCTAGCGCGTGGGAGGCCTGGTGGGCTGGAAAGGGTCTCTGTGCTCCACTGAGGTGTGTGTGGGCATCGCTGGCTTTGAAACTCAGTGGAATTAATCCACAGAACCGGAGAGGGGGGGGGGGGTCAGCAGTGGCAGCAGTAGCAGTAGTGGTCTCAGTCACACAGAGGCCTGTGTGTTTGTGTGTGTGCACGTCCCTCAGCCTCCATGCCAAGCCCCAGACGGCGGGCTGAAAGGCCGCGTGATACCACCCACTTTCGAGTGCAGTGCACGGCGGCGCTGGCGCTAGATCCTGCGGAGCGGGTGGGATGAGCTCAGATATTGGAGGCTGGCACTGGTTGAGAACAAGGCTTCGCTATGGGAGTGGGGGTGGGGGGGGTTGGCGTTAGCACTCACTGCGGCGGAGCCATCAAAAGGCATCAACCTGCTTAAAACACAACACAGCCCGGTAAATAGCGTCAGGTAGAGCCTTACAACCTAGCAGCCCACAATTGTGCAAAGAGCATCTGAATATTCAATTAAAATATACCCATGTTTTAGTTCACCGTCCTAATGGGACTACTGCTTACCATAAAAATCAATATTTATGACTCATTGTGTTGCGTTAAAGCCTCTAATGCGTTCTTATTATTTGAGGATAGAGACGAATGCATCTGAAAGGGAAATAACAGGCAATTTAGAGTTACTATATCCTGGTTTAAAGCGAGTTGAGTGAATCTAGCCAAACGTGGAGGCTGTGTTGAGAAGATGAGAGGCCTGCCAAACGACTGCTGTATGTCCGATTGAACTCTTTGTTGCTTTGAAAAGCAAAGGGGGGTTCCTCATGCAAATTCAAAGGGAATTCTGAGAAAAAGGGGATCCAAGAAGGAAGACAATGCTCTCTGTGTCATTCAGTGCTTGTTATGGAGGACGCGGGATTCATGAGCTGGGATGAGAGGACCCCTCATGTGCCATTGTGTGACTGTGTACTTCATCTTTAGGACTTAAAAAACAGTCTGACATATTATTAGCAGCCGCAGTCCACACATGTGACTTGGAGCACGTGGAAACAGTTGGAGGAGTCTTGAGCCGAACCCACATCGTTGTCTCTAGCGGCCGCGTAATGATATAATACTCATAGTGGTCACAAGGCTTAATCTCAGTCAGAGGTATGCAATTCATCCCACACAATACAAGGTGCTGCCCACTAAACAGTCTCCTCGCTCTCCCTCAAGCTTCTAGAAGTAGCAAAGGCTAATTTTACATTATACTTTTTTTTATCAAAATCATTTTGTTTTTAATCCAACAAAAAGAGCTTCCTTGCATTTGGGAATTCTGACAGCGAGAGGGAGGGATTGATTTGTTTCTCTTCCTAAACCTTTTGTTACTGTACACGTCACTATTTCTCTCCTCGCGTATTACAATCTGTGGGTGCAGAACACCTCTTATACATCCATTGGGAACCATACATGTCTGTACAAAATAGTATGACAATATATTCAATGGTGGTGTGATTGATTGAAGGAGCCATGCTGCCAGCTAGAAATAAAATAATAATAAAAAAAATACTGTGTATTTACTTAACCATGACTGCTTGTGTACATCCAAGGAGGATTAATGCGCCTTTGGTCACAGTTTTAAAGGTGCTAAAATGAATCCCTTATCACTCTGTTATTCTCTCAAGCTGCTTTTCTCTGCTTGTGAGGATTTAATTAAGCTGTTAATTAAATTCATCCATACATATCAACCGAGTAAATAAATAATGAACCATCTCTTTGAATTTCCTGAGTCGTTGTTGTGTAGTGTTTTACACTACTTGTTTTGCTATGTGACATTTGCTCACATGCTGCAAGCCATCACCAAACTGAACCATAAAGGATCCCACATAAATACACTTGCTGCTTTTCAAAAGCCTCTTTCGCTGCGTCCACCCTAATAAGAGGGCATTCTGCAGAGTAAAAAGCAGAGTTTGAGCTCCAAGTCTGGAGTGCTACCGTTCACTCCCAAGAAACACAATGAATACCATCAGAAGAACCTTGGTGGAAGTTTTCCCCCCATTCTGTTTGAAATAAACTTTTTGAATGAGCCAAAGAATCATTGAAAGTGTCATATTCTAGAAAGTCAATAGCCTCTTAAAGGGCATTGCACTGATTTTCCACATGAAGGGCAGTTCCTTGGAAGCACTTTGCACTTTGTATGTGTCTCGAGGCTCTGGAGAAGCTTTGTGAAGTCTGAGAAATTAATCCTGGTGATGTCACCAGGGTTATCTCAGCTTCAGCTCGGGGACTTTAAACTCTTTAAAGTTGGGGGATGGAGTGTAATGACCAGCCATAAGGGTTTTACAATAGAAATTGTTGAATTCAGTCTGTTTAGAGATTAACCAACATCTGCAACAAATACATCTCTATATTATGGCAGCCTTTGCATCAATTTAGACAGATCTGTCTAGATCTCTTTCGCCAGTCCAACGACATTATGAAGCAATGTTAAATGCAGAGAATAACTTTAAAGATGCTGCTGAATTCTAGTAGTGCCACTTATAATTTTTAGGGAACAGTGTGACAGTTCAAACTGTCCCGCTCCTGAATGTGGTTTAAAACAACATATCCATGTTCAGTTTATCGTTCTGGCAACCTAATTGAGTAATTTATAGAGTTATTGTCTGTGTTTAGGCCTCACAAGAAAAAAGAAAAGAGGGTGAACACAAGTAGATATCAAAAGTGTATTGCAACGTGCGTGATCGAGAGAAACATCGTGATTTCCATTGTGACTTGATTGAATATTGATTAAAAAAATCCTCAGCCAAAAAATAAAATCTCTTATCTTTCAATTTGCAGATGAAAACCTCCTTGAGGAAAAACAAAAAAGAGACGCGGACACACCATGTTTGTAACAATAAACTATTTTTTTTTCATATTTACATCTGTACCTAATGTGCAAATTAATAATTTATAGTAGTGTAAAACTCTTAAAGGAATACAAAATCATATCTTACAGTCCTAACATGGTGAGAGTCCATGAATCTGTCACATATAAACAAAGAGGAGCAACACTGCAGTGTGTACAGGAGAGAGACAGAAGCCAGGGAGCAGTGGACATCCTTGGCCAGGACACACTTGGGTGAGGACGGCATGGTACATTATCCAAGCATCACTGGAACAAACAGCAACACAAACACTGCGTCTTTACAGTAGTCATGTCGAGATGAGCAGAAAGCACTTGGAGGCCCGGGGTTTTACTAACCCCCTGATTGGTTAAAGCACTGATGATCACAAAGGCTTGAGGTGCTCTTAGCAGCAGGTGCTTCTTTTAAACGGCCTCTAGATATGGAAGAAGAACAGACAGACAATCTCACACTGGACCGGTGACACATCTATACTGCAGGTCACCGCGCTGTGCTAATAGCATGACTGCACACCGGGGTTGTTTGTGTAGAAGGGGAAGAGACACGTGATCACACTTTGGACAAATACGCATCGTTCTACGCTTCTCATCTAACACATTGACCGAATAGAGTAGTTAACAGGCGATTCAGGGAAACACACCACGCACGCTGCATATTTTAGAGGCAGTACATCCTCTGCACATTGTTCGGTGTGGTTTTTTTCTCGAAGAAAGCATTTTGAAACATTTGAATTGTAATCTTGTTAACGGAAGCCAGTTTGGCAGTGCTTGAGGCCTTAAGGAGGTCGACTTCGGGTACAAACGTGAAATGATATCTTACACAATATCTTGAGTCAAATTCTGACACAGGAAACTCTGGTACTGTGGCAAGAACAAAGTTACACTTAAGAAATTAGATACCCTAATCCAACATTACAATCTATAATGCTTACACATTTTAATTCCTGTAGTTCAAATTTCTTTACAAAAGCACACCGTGACAATCCTTTACAATTTACAAGACACAGTAAACCTACAGTAACTATATTATTGGTGCATAGACAAAACTGGGAGAGGTTGTAGCAAAAATCACCAATTTATTGCTTTAGTCTAATATTAATCTCCCATTGAATTTCTTTTGATTGCAAAACAACTACAAACTTCTGAAGAACCAAGCAGAGGTATTGCATTCAAAGTGATTAAAAGAGCTAAAATGTTCCCTCCTGATGAGATGCAAATCTTTTTATACTTTGAAAAATAAAGAACTTTCCCTCGCATACAGAAAGTTACATCACAGAGAGATGACTTTTACTCTAAAACAAGTAAAAGACTAACTTCAATGAGAACAAAATAAAAAACAACAACAAAAAAACAGCACAATTTCTGGCCAAAGCTGTTCACCGTTTCAACTTCTGCTTCCCCCATCATAAAATAATAAACCTTACTAACAAGTGAGGGGTGACAGGAATGCAAGAGCATTCGATCAACAAAATAGGAAAATGTTTGCCGTCGGGTTTTTCTAAATGCGGAGTGCAGATGGTGTCGTCCCCTCGCGTCTCCCCGCAGCCTTGGCTGCTTGGGGCTGTGAAGGCTACGCGGGCCTCTGCGCTTTGCTCTCCCTCTCCCTGCGCTTCACCTCCTCTCTGTAGCAGTAGGAGCAGTAGTAGTCCGTCTCTGGCCTGCCGTAGAAGGAGCAGTTCTCCCTCTTGCAGCGGCGCTGCTGGAAGCAGTACAGAGGGCTGCCGGTGCCCCGCACTTTGGTTTTCTCCTGGTTGAGCCACGTGTGAGACGAGTTGTCCTCATCGGCAAACTCCAAGCAGTCCTGAATGTCTCCCGCGTTGAATCCGTTGGTGTAGGTGTGGGACTTGTGTTCGCCGGGCATGTTGTAGGACAGCGTCTCCGCGGCGTTAACAGTGCGGACCCCCGACAGACGCGCGGGGCTGTAGCTCTGGGACGAGAGTGTGCGATTCTGCTGGGGGTAGGTGGCGCACGTCTTCAGGGTGCCCACCACAGGTTTGTACGGGTCATCTTGGAAGATGGAGGATTGCAGGTTGACATCTTGTAAGTGAATCACGCTGTGCCGCTGGATGGGCGGAGTATGGCTGTAGTGGGCCGACACCGGAACGGCCACGGGTCTCTTGGCACCGATACTGGGGGAGGAGTAAGGCGCGGGCGCCGGGGCCGGGTGGGGGACGTGATGGGAGGCTGTTGGCGGGGTGAGTGGAACGACTGGGACAGAGACGAGGGGGGCTGCGGGACCGGGACTGTTCCTGCCCTGCACCCTGAGACCCAGCGCGGGCTGCGGGTTGTGGTTGCAGGCGTGGGCGAGGTGAGGCAGGGTGGGAGAGCCGCTCTCCGGCGGCGAGCTGTCCGACCTCTCCCTCTGGAAGATGCTCTCGTGCTCGGGCTTCTTCGCGGCCACCTCATTGGTGGCGGGCGGCTTCTTCTCGGCCTCCTTCCTCCTCTGCTCCTGCTCCTGACTGAAGCGCTCCTGGGCGTTGGTCAGGTAGTAGCTGATCATCTCCTCGTGGAACTGGTGTCGATGGCTGGTGAGCAGGAGGCCTGCGAAAATGAACTTGCGCTCCCCTTGCATGGCGGCTCGCAGGATGTTGAGGCTGAGCTTGACGTCGGTGCTGTATTTCCAGTTTTCCAGGGTCTTCTCTCGCGCAGCGCTGTCCTGTCTCCCCGGGGGGGAGGAGCTGGAGGGTCCGTCTCGGTCTGTGGGGGAGGGACTAGTGGCCTTCTCAGAGGAAGTGGAGCTGGCTGACTGCCCCGACTCCTCCTTGTTCCCTTTGGTTGCCTTAGACTCCTTTTTCTTTGTCTTCTCCCCTCCATTCTCCGCACTGCGACCTGAGCCAGCGTTAGATTTGTTCATTTTTCCGTGCACAAGGCCACCCAGACCTCCCATGTTCTTCTTCAGCTTGATTCCCAAGGTTTTGCTGAAGCTACCTAGTTTGTTGGCTACAGAATCGGCCCGGCCCTTGTCTTTGTCCTTGCGCTGCTTGTCTTTGTCCTTCTCCTTGCCGGACTTGCCGTTGTTGACGTTGGAGTTGCTGCCGACGGACTCGCGGTCAGAGTCCATGGACTCGGCAAGAGACTGGACATCCTCACCTGCAGAGGCTGTGGGAGACTCCGGCTGAGCGAGGGGAGCCTGCATAGAAATACACACACACATAAGAACAGTAATCAGTAAAACACAGCAATGACGTCTCAGGGACTTCCAATCTATTCCAGACAAATTCCCCAACAGATATAAAAAGTTAGGGTCTTTGATGTCTTGATTTCCTGTGATTTATAGCCAGAACAAACAGATGAATTCCTAGGGTTATTGCAGTCTGACAGTAAATGAATCTGATTGATTGAACAGTATGTGGTTTCAAGAACATCTGGAATCTGAAGTCTCCCCAGGGCTAAATTACCCGTGACGAACCACAAACACGTGTGAGAAAGAGTTACCCTTGTTTCCGATGGAATTCGGATCCATGTTACATTCATGTAGTTGTGCAGCAGGTTGAGTTTGGCCTCAAGAGACAAGATGAGACTGTGGAGAACAATTAACAACACGCAGTGACATAACAGTGTTTTTGACCAGAACCCGGTGGCATATTTAGCATATTAGTGGATCGGACTTAATCTTTATATTATCTTTTACGGTTTTGTAGTATCTGGACCTAGAGTCTAAAATAAAAGTTTGATTGATTATTACATTAGGGAAAACTATGAATGCTTGCAATGTATTAAGGGTAATATATGGTATTAAAAGCTTGAACATTCAATTTTTTTTTTGAAAACAGCAATATATCTTTCCACTGACATGAAACAAAACCCTTTAAATCAAGATAATTCAGAGACCTACCAGCTAGGCCCGCAAGCGGTATCAGCAGGCAGAAAGAACGACAGAACGACGAGATGTGACATTTAATAGTGTACTTGACTGAGCTGTAACATTAGCCAGCTCAGTGGTGCTAGCTGAGCTTGCAGGATCTATTATATCCTTCCTAAATAAGGAAATACGGTTGGCAGGTGTAGTTTGGTTGACAGAAAATAGATCCTACATGAAACCAGGTCTGTGGATTATCTCTAAAGAAAGACACATTGCTGTAGTTTTTCTGAGTCACTACTTGAATATATCGGAACGAGAAGGCCAAAATTTCTTTGGCTCCATCCAAAAACGTAGACAACTCGCAGCAAAACAATCTCAACTGATAAATAGAACTACTGCTGAGAGAACAAATATGCACTTTTGCTCTTTAGGTGAACTGTTAAATGTTTCGCTGACCCCTTGACGGACAGGAATGCAAACCCTCACATAAACTGTGTTGCTGCTCTGGTGAAGCCCTTCCTTGGAAACCCTTATGGACGACTGACGTGTCTCACCATTTGTTCCCCCTCTGCTCACTCTTTAACGTCACCTGAGCTCACAGACTCATAATTAGAGGGTTGAATCCCCCACGTACCGCCCAGCAGGTTGACTAAACAGAACTGCCTTAGCCTGCACTGTTTTCCATCTGCGTGGGAGCACCGCAGTCAGCGTCACTGTGCGCTTTGTTGATGAGCATCAACAACCTGCCATAGGCTCAACGGGACTTACTTGGCTAGCAGGGTATTATCATTGTCGTCCCTCCCCCACTCCCAGTCCCTGCCGGGGTCCACGGCAAAATGGAGTGCCAGCAGCTTGTGCTCAGAGTCGGTCAGGGGGATAACAGCTGGAAGAGATGAGATTATCCGAAGGTTAGTTTGGTCTGGCTTTACCACCAGGGTCTACGTCTCACGCCACCCGCTCCCTCACAAATAGAACCAGAGTAATGCCATGTTGACTATCTCAGAGGCCTGTCTGCATGGGCTAAAGTACACTGTACTGGCATCTCTGGTCAAGTGTAACCACTCTATGTACTTTTTCCCATGAGGACGTGACTGAAGAAAATTACAATGTGGGTTGAAGCTATTCTGGATCTGGAATCATATCAATACAATCAAAAGCTCCGAATCAGTGAGTTTTCAATTTAAGGTTGGATTTTTTCAACAAACAGGGATAAGATGTCTTTAAGGGCATCAGACAAATTGGACATTTTAACATCTACAATTCCATGACAACTCCGTCCACCGAGGAAGATTATGTGATACTATTGAGTACTGTAAGTGTAAGAATAGCTGATTGATGATTGATCGGGCCACTTTGAAAAATGTGTGTTTTCCACGTCAAGAATTAATTCATAATTCTGAAATGGGTTTTCATGGGATCTTTGCGATCTCTAGAGATAATACTCCGAGAACACTTTAAATGTTGAGTCACAGAAACAAGTCAGGCCGTAATGTGATTCACAACACACAGCGTGGGTAAAGATTTTACCATTGGCTTTTGTTTTCTCTTCCACATAAATTTGTCCTTGTCCATTTTCCTTGGTGCCTTCCATTTGTGTTTTTATTTTAGAGATGACCCAGACATCTGCAGAGACTTTGAGCTTTATCATTAGCAGGATGAGTGACGGTCAATGCTACAAAAATAGGACCCAGGTTGTGACAAACTGAAACCATCCGTTAGCTAAAGTAAAGGAGTCTCAGTCTGGCATGAGCCGACTATTTGGATTTATATCGAGCTGAGTAGCGCTGCAGCCTTTTAGGAATTTACATGATGATTTAGTTTAGAGTCCAATCAGCCACTGGAGTACAGAAAGAAAGAGAATGAGTGCTAAATAATGTCATTCACACCCTGCTGATATGATCAGCTTCTTACAAGTAGAACGATGTTTTTTTTAACATTAATCACTGGACAGAGCACATAAAACAGACACCCACCCGAGCTTCCTCTCGTGGGCGGTGGTGCTTACATCACGAGAGCAGTGCGGGCGTGTATGTGTCCGAGTGCATGGCTGCCTTTCAAAACAAGAGTGTGAAGAGGACCAGCTAGACCCCACCGGCCCACATGACCGCTCTCCTCAGGCTGCCTGCTGTGGGGGCTGTTGTCCACATGACAGCAGCCCCAGATGGACGATACTGCCTCCTCCCTGTCTTAGCAATTCCTCCACTGCCAATGACCTGCTCTGCAAGCTTCATGCAGACGGACACGTGGAGCAACACCCCCCACCCCCCCCCTCCCTGCTCCATGTTGAAACTGAGGGTCAAAACCTTACGCTTTCCCTCTTGTATCTCTTCCTGAGTGCCTACGCACGGGTGCAAAGGACACTATTAATCACGCTATGTGTCAAAATAGTGTTCGTACATGCAAAGGGATGACGCCTTACGTCTCTGAAACAGAATAAGTCCGGCCACACCCAAAGCAAGCACATTTAACACTGCAAGCATGATCTGTTATTTGTATCGGACACCAGTGGTTGCTAAGCAAACACTCTTAAACAGCTGAGTAAATACGTCGCTAATAGCAGCATAAACCACTACACACGTTATAAAATGTCACTGTTGGCTTTGCATCATACGTGTGCACGCATTTTACACCTTGCAACAGGAAAAGCATGACCAATGCCTGTGGCCCCAGAGAGAGAAACGGCAACGAGAGCAGTGGCATATTCAGCGGAAAATAGAGGGATTTCCTAAAAGGCTCCTACCCCAAAGAATTTAGTCATAATTAAAAACACACAGAGACAAAAAGCAGTTAACCGGCTCCCACTCAGTTCCCACTAAGGGTCATGCGGCAGGCAGCGGAGGTTTGTAAGGTGGCGTCCCGGCTCCCACGATGCAGCTGTCCTCCTTTCACGCCATTCCAAAGTTCTGTGTGTGTGTGTGTTGTTGTTGTTGTTGTTGTTCCTGCTTGGGCACGGTCCAGATTTTAGGATTCAACACTGCCAATTGAGCTCCGGGGGACTAAATTGTGCTGAAATGTATTTACTATCCCTGTTGGCGGCCTTGTTTTGTTGTCCTTGAATGACCGATTCCCATAGCTTACGCGTGGATGACATCATCACAGCCCTCCGCGGTATGCAAGCTGTGCACTCAGCAACATACCCGCCAGCCTGCATCGCCTTGCTACATTGGCATCTTTGATTCGGCGGGGGGGGCCTTAGGTGTAACCTGTGAGGAAACAGCTGTTGGAAATGAGGTGGATAACCTTTCTTAGCATGCGCTTACGTGGTTCGATTGCTTTTTTTTTTTTAGTTACACAAAATGAGCCATCCTGCCTTGTGTCATGAGAGGGGATTCTCTCTCCTCTTGAAAGTGAAATCCTCGAGTGGAAAAAACCTCAACCATTGCAAGCTTATATTCACAGCAGGGACACTGGGCCAATGTTTCCTCTGTTTTTCAGTTCAAGAACAATTTGTACTCAAAAATCCTTGACTTGACTTCACTCTGCAGAGCTGCAGATTTACAAAGGATTGCCTGAGCTTCTTTCAGCCACTGATTTTAACAGAGGAACCATGATGGTAATTAGAAGAGCATCCTATTCTAAGTAACATGTACAACTGCATCAAGTTTTAATTCTGATAGCCACATTGATTTAATTGCGCCAGCTGCATTTGGAGAAATACACTGGGTGTCTTTGATAGATAGAATAGTGGAACCTGGCCAGACCTGGATGGTTACGCCGCACCGTTATGTAGGTGGTCTTTGTGTAAAAGACGGCCATTTACTTCATTGAAATGGGTGTCAGGGGGTTGATGGTGGGATGCCAAAGAAAACCTGGAAGTGTTTTGGTTCAGCGGCCATAACTTGAAATAGCGCCACAGTTTTTTAGAGGTCCAGTTCCACTCATTCACAGTTTAACCACCGCAGTACAAACAAGCTGATAAAAGACATCGGCAACAGCGCCTACTGAAGAGCCAGTCATCATCACACAGCAGGTGACCAGCAGCAGGATGAAAGCTCCGGGCTCACCTGACTACCTCATTCAGAAAAAAAGACACTTTACGGTTTTGAAAAGATTATTTAGAAATAACCTCTGACTTTACACACCTCTCCTTTTTGTTTTCACTGTCCACCATCAATGTAGCCCTAGCAGCCATTCAAGGGGTCAGCAGCAGTGTGATTTAGGGTCAGGTTACTGAGGTGGGGGGGGACACTTCCTTGTAACCCACCGACGGCCCTACCGACGGCTGAAGAAAGAGCCAGTATTCCAAGCCAGCCTCTGGCACCTGAACACACCAGGGGCCAACGGCCTCTTGGACGCTCTTCGCTGTTGCCGGGGGAAACTGAGACCAAAGGCTCCACCTGAAACGTCCACACACCGGCCTGACTGGAAGCAGAGAGGATGGGTCTGTGTAGGCCCCGCCCCGGGACCCCGTCTATATGTGGTGATGAAGTTAGGGCTTAGGGGCCCGCTGGTGCTCCTCTGTCCTAATTGGCATTGGAAGATTAGATCTGCCCGTCTGTCTGACCCTCTGCCTGTCTGTCTGGTATTCGATCAGTGATATAAGCCCGTATTGTAGCATTTCTTAAAATTCAGAAAGACACACTCGTACCATTATACATCATAATTACCTCTTACATACATAACAGAGGAAAACAAGCCCAGATTTGTATCATTGCGGTGAAATATGAGTCACTACATGACGAACAAATGCACCAAGCTAGGCGTGCAAATGTTTTCAGACTGCAAACAAAACGCACTGTGATCCTATCACAGGACACAGTGTACCAGAATGAAAAAGTACAGTCATGCGATGGTGTAGTGATCTAGCAACAGCCGGTTATTTGGACATATGCACCATCTGGTGGACAAAAGGAGAACCCGATTAGCCACATTAAAACGGCCAAAAGAAGCTGAATAGCTAAGTGGTGTGTGGGGCGGGCTGCCTTTGATGTGCTGCTGGCATTAAAGACAATGACTTCAGGGCTCGGCCTGCAGGTTAGTAATCACGTCTGTCTGCCAGCCTGCAGTGGTTGTGCACAGATTTAATAACCAGGTTGGTGTTAAAACGACGAGAACAGGAAACTCACACGCTCAGAAAAGCACAAGAGGAGGAGGAGGAGGACAGGAAGGAAGAAACAGTTTGCATAAGTGTTCGAGGGGGAGAAGGAGGGAGAAAAGGAGCCAGAGGGACGGAGTTGGCCGGCAGCCCACACAAGAGACAAGCGAGTTCTCCACCCACTGAGTCAGATAAAGACGAGTGCCGTGACTACTTAGACTGGTTGTCAAGGAGATCCTCTCTATTTGTCAATTAAAAGGAACTCCATGTGAAGATTGCTCAGGCCTCGAGAATGAGCAACACATCCGGAGTGGGAGCACAACAAGACGAGAACAGTCACTCAAAGCAAACGGAAAGTCGGCATAACACAATCGACGTGTCCTACGCAGCGACATACCACGGACCCCCGTGAGAGAGGCAAACTGCATACGGAAACACGTACTGTAACAAATCTAAAGTCAAACAGTGACCTCGGAGAGAGAAATGTAGACAAACAACACCGTACAATTGAACAATTTGGTGCTCAGTGCGTCCCTGTCGGCCCCTCCCAGGCTCCCACCGTCAACCGGCCTGCTTTAATAATGGATCACAGGTAATTAAACTGCCGTCTCATACATTATTCACCTCGGGCAGACCACTCGCCCTCATTCTTGCGATCAAGCCACTTAAAGTTAAGAGACTGCCTAACTAATGCACGTCGCAGCGGGTGACACTGCTGTCAGGAAACAGGAGGTCAACAAAAAAAAAAAAAGTGTTTTTTTTTGTGACGATGCACAGTTGCGTACCTTGCTCTCGCTGCTGGTCTCTCTGCTCCATGGACACCAATGCGGAGAAGTGAGCCTGATCGTAGGCCAGGACCAGAGGGGAGCAGTGACAGCGGCTCGGGGGGACCTCCAGAGGCAGATAGAGCCCTCCAAACGGGATGGGAGCAAACGCTGGAACGCAACATCTGGTGTCAGCGCTCTGCTCATCCAACCCAATCAGTGCAAGATGCGGTCAGCCTACCTTCTCCCCCCGAGTCTCTGAGCATTGTGTCCGCCACCACTACGATTGGCCTGCGTAACACGTGGGCCAGCACAAACACATGGAACTCCTCCAGACTCTCATAGACCGGATCCTCAGAGTTATCCACCCTGCGAGAGAAACAACGACAACCATGTAACACATTGGGATCATGGGATACTGTGACCGTTTCCTGACTTGGAATTGACTGGTGCAAAAAACATCTGCCAAAACAGTAAATGCCAAGAGCCTGTGTGATCTGACCTGATCCGTTTTGCCCTCTGGCTACCTTAAACAGACTGGTACAAAGATCCGTATGTTCGTAAATGAGATTGAATGAGAGAGGGCAGGAGAGATAAAGAGGGAGGGAGGCTTGAGGCCGAGAGGAAAAGCAGAGGCAGAGCTATCGGGCGTGAGACCACCAGGGAACCAGAGGATGTGCAACAATTAAGTTGTCAGCCACGCAGCCAAATTCACTCTAATAAAGAGCCTCTTAATATGAGAATCCCACTCATTCTATTTAGGGGCTCATCTCGCACCAGGACAATCAAACGTCCCTGAACTGATTACTGTATTAGAGTCTAACTCAGGCAGGTTAAAACTCACCAGAGAGAAGGAGTAAATTGTGGGATATTTTCAGTGATGGAGGGCTTTGATACCGGGCGAGTTAATGCCGGCGAGGACGGCTAATTCCACAGTTATTCAATTGTTTTCAGACGCTGCTGTCCCACTATCAATACAATAGTCTTTGCCTGGTTTCTTACAGGGTTTTTAAATGCACCCTTTACATTTTTTTAACCGCATTTTCCGCAGGCTACCACAACCGGGTTGAATCCCATCTTATGTAAGTCAACAATATTTGAATAAACAGTTGTGTTTTTTTCTCGATCCAAAATAGAGCTGCGATGCCGATCGCCTACAAAACAGAAAGCGTGTGCAACAATTTCAGTGAGAATGGAAACGAGAGACAAACCACCAGGTTTCTGTGCGTAGGAGGAGGAAACTACATTTAGTTTCCAAACTGCCTCAGTAGCTTGTGATAAACCCACTCCTACACTTGTTTACGCAAAAGGTGGGGGTGGGGAAGGGTGGAGGAGACGAACGATTAATACCGATGGCAGCCAGTAGGTGGCACATTCTCACACTGCAGCTTCAGCAATGTTATTAAATCATGCAGTCGATTAAAAAGAGCAACTGTACGAGGGGGAGCAATTAATTGCCACGACGCGCTCATCTTAGTGAGGAGGTCACTCCTGCTTTAATCGGGGGCCTCCTGCGGTGACTCAACGTACGAGCCATTACAGCGCGGCGGGAGAGTGTGATGTGGGACGGGAGCGGTGCGACTCGCCGTGGCTGCTCGGTTTCGTTGGGAACGGAAGACGCGCTGCGTCTCGGGAGGAAGAATTGGGGATGGAACGGGAGGGAAGTGGCTTACCCTCCACTCGTGTGGCCGTTTTTGCTGAGGTGAGTGCGCGGCTCGCTGGAGGCCAACTTCAGCAGCTCGTTCCACTCCCTCTCCCACTCGTCCTCGGTGTACACCAGCCCCGACTGCACCAACACACACACACGGACAATAGTTATCTCTATTCTTCATAGTTCATCTACAACGTTATCTCCAGAAGCGCTACGCATACACTCATATTGTCATATCTTTGCTGTTTACGGATGGCTTGATGAAAGAAACGGACAGGGATTGTGGGAAATTAGAGAAAGGTGGATGACAGGCAACAAACCAAGACTCCAGGTGTTTACATGGGACCACCAATATGAACATCTGGACGGCGTCTTTGCCTTTTTGGTGACACCGTTTTTCTAATAGATGGGCAAACACTTTCATCCGGGAACATCAAGAGAAGGGAGATGAAGTGCAAAAGGAATTTTCTGCTACTATTGCACCCTTGGTATCATTGGTAACACAGGTTACATGTGGCTCATCCCTCCGCTCGCTGTTATGGATTAGTTAATGCATCGTTCGTGAAAGTGGATCTGGTGCATTTACTCTTCCGACCTCCTTGTTCTGTTGGGTTTGCTGCCACCTCCACCTCCTCTTCAGAGCGTCTCTCTCCGCTCCGCTCTTCATCATGGTATACAGGGATTTCCTCAGCATCAGGTCTCTGTCATGGAAGCCCCACATCCCTGATCGACACAGACGCAAGACAGCGTTACTGCTTGGTGAGATTGAGGACATAAAAACAATGACACAGCCATTGCACCAGACTATATAATCGAAGGCCCTTTGTTGTCCGGCTGCCACTGTAAATTGAATCAGCTCTGGTGCCTCTAACAATGACAGCGCCGGCAGTCCTCAGACTGTGAAGTCAAACAATCTTCTTCGGCACGGACCCGAATAAACTGACAGTTGCAGTTTTCTGCAACACGTAGGTAAGTTATCTCCCTCCCGAACTTCCTTTGCTCTTCCAAATAGTCCTTTCTCCCTCTCTCCTCTGGATCGAGCAGCTGTGACGCAGCACTGGCACGGTTAATAGAGAGCGTCTTGCACAGTTGTTATGGATGACATGGTAATATTACGTGTTGGGTATCCTCTAGTGTACACGAGTGGCTCACCTAAAGAGGCAGCATGCAGAAGGCAGTTCCCGTCCCCTGTGGTGGCCAGAGGAAGCAGCTTCTTACAGCTAATGCACATGGTGGACCACCAGTTCAGACGACCTGCACATTTACAAACATTTAGTTTCAATCCACTTTTGAGACAGTATTTTTAAAATGTACACACAAAAAGGGTATTTGTATGTTTCCAAAGTAATGAATAATTGGGCTTTACAGGGACCTTTACAGGGATGAGAATACAATCTATAAAGTGGCAGAACAAGAGAAGAGATTATACATTTTGGGAAAGACAATACTCAACAAGACATTAATTCCTGGCGACAAGCTGGCTAACTTTGTGTTGTCCGGTCTATCAACCCGAGAAATCCAATATCCAGGAATATCCAGAGGCGGGCGTCCAGCACCTGTGCTTGTAGTACCAGCGCTAATCTCACGTCCCTTAGCCAGCCTTCTTTTGCACACGGCTCTGTTGTCTGTTCTGAATGTTAGATGTAGCCACGCCCCTGATTTGCATATAAGAACGTGAAATGTAAAACGGCATTATGAAATAAAAGTCTCTGGAAATGTAAAACGGCATTATGAAATAAAAGTCTCTGGAAATGAAAAGTGGCATTATGAAATAAAAGTACCATGCTATGAAAAGTGGCATTATGAAATAAAAGTACCATGCTATGAAAAGTGGCATTATGAAATAAAAGTACCATGAAATAATTAAATGTATTTAATATTTATGTATTTATTGCCTCATTTATTTTATTTCATGATGTATTTCAAATGCATATTTCATGTATTTATGTATTTATTTAATTTGGACTAAAACGGCATTCCATAGTTTACAAGAGCCTTCAAATGTCCGTTGCAACTGAATGTCCTCCAGCTCCACACTACTGGAGAGGGTACCAACGATGGCCCAATGACAACTACCCTAATTTGCTTAACGAGCTGAACTTTGACGCCGATGTTTAGCAAACGCGATACACTTTGCACTCGTACAGCGTGCAAACACCCGCTGTGAGTATCCTCTCCCTCAGCCGGACATATACAGCGCCTCTAGTTTCTGCTCCATCACCGCCCTGCCAGTGTCCCTGAGGGAGGGACGGCCGCTTCACAGCCACGGGCGCGGCACGCTGCTTTACCGCAGGCCGCCTCGGGTGATCTGACTGCATCATTTATTCAGCAACAGCAAACACAGAGGAGGCTCTGAATGATTCACCCCTCGGCGCGGACGGGATCAAAACGCAAGTGTTGTGAATTTCTCTCTTTTTTACCTGTCAGATATAAAAGTCAGTTTTCTTGAAACTTGGACTATGATTACATCCTAATACATATGTTTATTGATGTCATATCAAAGAACGATTGTTATGCTGCTTGAGAATCCCCCTGATCGTAAAAGGGAGGCGAATACTCAGCTGGTTGTTGGAATTAATTAAACATTTTTTATTTGCAGATACATATTTTTTTAGGAAGAATTAGGTGAGAAAGGCTTTACAATCTCTGCAGACTCGAGACTTGAATATTTGAAACTTTGACAACTAATCTCAGTTTGGAAACTTAAGCTGGGAGATCAATTGTTTGGGATCCGCGGTGATTTGAATTAGTTGCGGTCGTCTTCCAGATGCTGCTGCTCTACTCTCCCTACTCTGTCACACTACACATCTACATTACTAGCCTCCAGTGGTATCTTCCCTTTGCGCCGCTTTGTGGGCCTTCTGCACCGCAGTGTAATCTAAATGAAGAACACGCTGAAATGCGTCCAATCGTGTGGCATACCTCATCAGCAAGCAGGGGAAGCACAGTGCCAGAATGCATCACATTCTATGGCGCGGCAGTACTCACCGGCTTGCTCCAGAGCCATCATCGTGGACTGCTCGATCAGGTCTCGCTCTATGAAGCTCCTGAAATCCTCGCTGTACATGCTGAGATCTGGTAGCTGGAATGTGTAGATGGGCATCTCGAGGGGGAACTGCTCGCTGGTACACTCACTGGCCACCTGCAGCCGCGCCAGCGAGACTATAGCGGAGCTGGCGTGGGAGATCCCGCGGGACAGACGCTTCTCTGGAGGGGAGAGGAAGCGAGAACACCGCGGGTGAGTTGGAAGCCGGTGGAGACAGAGGAAGCTCTGAAACCTCACTCAAGGTGACTGGTGGTGGCACTGTGGTGTTGTGGGAGGCCTCTTGCCTTGTGCATTGTCCTCCTGCTTCTGTGCACATGGCCTGTCGATCTTGCTGACATGGGTGGGCGTGTCACGTGCCTCTGGTTGCTTGTAGTAGCGGCCCTCGTTGAAGACCTGCGGCAGGTTGGCAGTGTGGACCTGCCTGAGCTCCTCGTAATCATTCAGAGCAGCGCCGAGGTCCCAATTTTTACCTGTGTGACACAAAGAAAAAGGTCTGCGTGATTGCTCATATATATATATATACATCTCACTAAAAGATATTGTGTATGATTACTGAAGGGTGATTTTATTTTTTAACATTCAGATATCCTAAATTTCCTAAAGTTTAGAGTTGTTGACCAAATATTATGTTCCATGCATCAAAAGTAGTTTTTTGCTGCAGCTTACAATTTCCCAGCTCTTTACAAACTTTAAATAATGAGCCGCAACAGTAATGGTTTACATGGCCCGTATGGAACAAAGCCCAACAGTGGCTGAGTAACACATGCAGCGGCATGAGAAGAATAAACTTGATGTTGAGGTTGAAGACACTGATGGGAGACAGATCATTAAACAGAGTGACAGCAATATCCTGTTGTGCAGCAGGGACCTCCACCCTGGTAACAAATGCACGCCACGAGCACGCACACACACACACACACGTTGTCTCCTCTGGGGGATGTCTCTCTAATAGAGATCCCTTCCACGTTTGAGTCGAGCCTCAGTCTTATTTTAAAACAACATTCTACAGTCTACAAATTCTCATCACTGCCCACAAATGCAAAAAACTCAGCATGTAACTGAGCATGTTGAAGCATTAATGGAGTCGCCTCGTAAGAGACCTGCAGGAAGTTGTCTCCTTCCTTTCTTCCAGACTAGACGATTCTGGGCAGTCTTAAGGAGAAACCTGGCACCACTGAACCCCCGTCTCTCCCCACGATCAATGCAAAACTGGTTCCACCTTATTGAGCTGCACCGATACAGGAACACAATTGAAGGTGCACTCAGCACCTAATGCATGTTCTTTAAATGCTTCTACATTAGTCTACTGGTACGGTGGCATGGTCAACGTTGTTTCAGCTCCCCCATTATGAATGGCTGTCCTCAGCAAAAGGAACAATTTGTCCGCAGTATGAGCATCTCTATCTATCTACAGCAGCTTTACAAAACTCCTTTCTTTTCAGTAAATTACTTTCAATTAAACCAGATCCATTGGCGGACTTGTGGGAAATTGATGTTGATCTTTATGAGCAAGCTTTACTAACCATCCGGTTTCTTTAGTAAAAAAAATAATCCTAAATTAGTTTCTTAACCCTTTTTCCTCCCCAGTACATAAACCAGCCTCTAGGGGGAAGCACCACATGATGTGCTGTCATTGCTGCTCGTCACAGCATCCAGACTCAGACCCGGGGTCACAGCTGATTGATGCAGGTCTGGAGAACGGAGCCAACACCAGAGAGAAGCAGCAGGCGTGATACTGAAATAGGACATCCAGTCGTCTGAGAGTGTCTTGTTTGGTGTCTTGTTAGTGTCCCTGTGGCGTCGTGCCAAAGCAGAATCAAAAAAAAATGACTGAAGGGGTGGGATCGACAGACAGCCACCAACACTTTAATTCTTTTATCAGACCAGACGCCAGCTGCATAATAAACACGCAGAGACGACAAATAAATACATTCTAGGACACGCAGGATTTCATCCCCTAATGGAGGTCTGATTTGTGTGGAGCATGCTTTTATTCCTGTAAAGTAGACACAACTGGATTTCCGCATTTCTCTTCTACAGTTTGACCAGAGGCTCGAGTGCAATGCGAAAACCATCCGAGACTGAAGTTGCCACAAAAAGTGGAAATAAAACCACAAACCTCACTTGACCGTCTCGAGAAAGCCAATTAAACTGACCATCAACCGGCTTTCTGTTGCCGTGTGCACTTTTTCACCCCTGCCCCCCCCCCCCCCCCAAAGTGGCCCTGTAGGTAAGTTATACAAGTGCCAGTAGCACTCTGCTCCTCAATGAGTTCCAATGAATGGGCACAAAGCTCTCCCTGGGGAGCGCACTCGTAAAACCGTCACACAGGCCTCTAAATCAGCAGGCCGGGCTCACTGTTACAGGCCCCGCTCCACCCCTCCCCTCCTCGGTTTCCTTTCCCCTCATTTCCTGTCCTCTTCAGTTCCTCCCTCTCTCCTCCGCTCGCTTGAGTGCAACCGCGGCCCAACGGGGAGCAGCTGATCAACACCCAAAACCCAACTATTAATACCTCGCCGGCCTCAGATCTCGAAGGACACTTTGAGTCTCTTACCTTCCAGCAGGTCTCTTGCCAGACCCGGTTCTGCCCCCGTGGACCGAACAAAGTCTGACAGGACCGCGTCCATGTCCAGAGTCATGTGATCATGCGTGTGCGCTGCCCAGGGTGCAGCGGTGGCCTTGGTGGACGCCAGCCTTCACGTTGTCATCTGGAAAAAAAAAAAAGACACCATTTTGCAGTAAATCCATTCCAACCACACTTTTAAAAACCCGCCACAAAACAGAGACCGGGCCCCCCCCGTCTCACTTATTCTTATCCCAGCCGGCTGTCTGGGCCCGCTCGTACGGATGTCTAATGCTTTGAGCTGGAAGTGCAGCACTTTTCTCCACCAGGACTCCACCCAGCTCTCGCTAACAGTCATAACACAATATCCAACAGCACCGTGTAACATCAACAGTACGACCAGAGATCCGGACACACCTGCCTATCTCCGAAGCTTCTGGCCCACCGCCCACGACTCAAAACAACACAAACCCTCTTCCTGCCTCTGGGTGCCTCACGGGGCTTTTTCGTGGTCTGAGCGGGTACCTCAAACCACGCGAGCTGGATAGCGAGGGCCGACGCCTAGCAACGGTTTGGGGAGCTGAGCGACCACTCAGCGTGATGTTATTTGGTGTGACCGTAGCCAGAGAACAGGTCGACACCAGGGCTCTAATGATCAACAAGCGTCCCTTTGTTAGATCCTAAATGCCACTTCTGAGATGCACAAGCGTTGCCGCCCTCGGGCCCCCGTGGGACCAACGCGTCCGGGCATAGCGGTCATTCCATCTGGTGGCCGCGTGGGTGAGGAACGGCGTTCAGAGCGCCCGTCAGTGACGACACCCACGGGCGCCAGGCCCCGCCGCGCGAGCGGACCGGAGGGTCGCCGGCTGCTGGCGGTGTTGACCTCCAGCGGAGGGAGAGCGTGCATGTTGACGTTCTGGTACTCGGCCCACATGGCTGAGCACAGCTCCAGCTACCACTCCGCCGCCGCGGGACGGGAAATTTTAAAAGCACCGCTTCATTATTACCGGCAACTTTAGTCGTTATCATACGCATCATTGATGAGTCAGAGCATAGTTGGGCTGACGTACTTTCAGCCGGCTGCCTTGCATGGCATCTGCTGGAGCGGTCACAACCGAAGGTTTGTCATTGATCATGAGATTCTGTTATCAGATCAAAGGTGACCTCTAATGTGTGGCTGGAGGAGAAGATGGTTTTCTCTTTATGGACACTTCTTCGCTACAAATCAACTGAAATGTTTATGATAAGAGCATTTTAGACACTTCTAAAAGGAATGTCAGGAGATAAAGAGACAACATATGTGCACATAATTACACTCTAAAAGGTCAACCGGTACCTCAGTAAAGAATAATAAGCTGCTCATGAGGTGAGAATCACACTATTGATTTGCAGGGACTTAAGTGTAGTGGCGGGAGGCGAGTCACAGGAACAGCTGAATATTATAAGTCATAACCTTTTCTTTATCTTAAGGACAGCTAATTAAAATTGCTTTCCCTGTGGGAGGCATATGACTCAGAAACACCCTACTGCTTGTTCTTCTATCTGACGTAAAGCTTCCTTTTAAGCATGATGGCAATTTGCATGTGTCACGAGCACCGTGCAGCCGGCTGCCAAAAGCAAACTAGTAAAAAATGTCTCATATTTTTGTTATTCTTAGCAAACGGCGTGAAAAGACCAGAAGCAACAATGCGTTAGTCCGTGTAATAAACTTCAGCCTCAGCCGTGACTCTCGGTCCAAAGCCAACATGCTGCAATCGGATGTAAATCATTCCAAAAATCGGCTCAATCATTTAGATGGCAATAATTTATATTTTATAAAAAAGGCAACATCATTCTCTGAAACAACTGGGCTTGTCTGAAAAAGCAGGAGTAAACAGTGGATTAAGACACATTTGGTGAGCACATTTGGTGAGCTAGTTGAGAGTATTCGTGGCTCCAGGTGCGTTGGTGAAATTTAACCACCTCCTTTTTCCTCAAGTACACAGGTACTTTGTGTAGTACTCCTTGTATGGTACTCGAGTGGACCACATTTATTTGGCAACTGCACTTTAAAAAAAAAAAAACATTTGTTAAAGTTTATAAAAGATGACATATGAAACGGCATAATGTGGTTGAAATCACATGGGATGTTTGCCTGCGTAACTATCACGGTCATTTCTGATAAACCTTCAGTGTACTTCCCTGATAATACTTGAAGTTATATAATTTCCAACGGAAGACTGTTCCATATAATAAAAAGGAACACGTTACCAAGTGCAGCAGTCACAGATGTATAAATAAATCATTTCACACAGAGACAGCCCACGATAAAAGGATGAAGTCATTCTTTTTTTGGTCTTTTCGTTTGTTGTTAAACAAAACCGTATCAAATACCTCCATCCTCATTCATTGTGTTATTTAGCAGCTGTCTGTGACAACGCGCAGCACTGTGACTGAACCTCGGTCTGCCGGTGATGACACGTACGTTCTGTGTTTTTGCTGAGGGTTGTTGAAAAGCCATCTGCTGCCCGTGGGACTGTCAGGACCAGACGCAGCGCTAGTCCATGGCTCCAAGGCGCAGCGCGGGACAGGAAGACAGCGGCGAGGCAGAGGACCCTGAAACACACACACATACACATTGAGAGTTATCACACTGAAAGTTATGGCCCCGAGTTCTGATCGACTGAGCTCTATTTGACACACACACGTGTGTGTGTGTGTGTGTTTTAATATGCAAATCCCAAATCACCCCTGGAGCTGTTACTTTCATCATATGCCATTTAGAAACTACTCGGTTGACTGACTATTCACGAGTAGAGCACTCGAACAGGCAATGTTTGATCATCGACCTATTTACTACAATGCAGAATGACATCATGTCATGCTTGTTTAAATCTGCCTTGTGATGTGCGGAACTGCAGCAGTCAACAGCCCCGTAAAAGCTGCCTAAAGGCCTTCTTCATAAGCATTTCCTTAAACAGCCTGGCGTTGATGCCGCAGCACCACTTCCTCCGAGGCCGCACCTCCTCAAGGCGTAATCACGTTCTCAGCTTCTCAAACAGAGATGCAGAGGTTTGTGGGACACTGACGCGGTGAAGGAAAAGAAAGCAGCGCCAGCCGAAAAGCGCTCGCGAGCTCTGCTTTTTACCCCCCCGATGGTGGTCGCGAGAAACACGCTGATGATGGTGATGATCGCGCACGACGCAGCGGGCGGAGAGATGAGAGTGTCAGCTTGTGAGAGGCGAAACTCCACCGCTGGCGCCGCCTCCCTTCGGCTTTTCTCAGCCCGGCTGAGGAGTCGGCGTCGAAGCCCTCCTAAGTGGGACTGAAATATCCTTCAGCGCCATGCATAATTCACACCAGCAGTAAAAAAAAAAAAAAATGTTCATGTACTGTATGTGTCCTCCGTTAACTCGTGCAATCTATCACGGCAGTACGAGTTACCTTTGAGATCGGAGCGGTCCCTCACTTCAAAATGACAGCAAACTGAACAAATGTACACACACACAAATGTGTGTAAATTTGATGCATTCTCATTGATGCGTTTTATAAAGCAAACAACCATCACTAGTTTAAGCGTTGCTGCTAGGCCGACGTAGTGGTGATGCCTATTACAAATTTAAGTAGCATGGCTGAACAGCACGATCAGAACTTGCTGGTGTTCTGGAGAAAAAGTCGGATTACTTGAAATGAAAAAAGGTTGTAAATGAAAGGCCCATGCAAGCTTAAAAGTTATAATTATGGTAGACACGCCAAGTAGACATTTTAGTTCATTGTATTTCTCGAAGACTCTTCCACATGCGAGACATCCGCAAAATATCAATCAATGCTTTAGATTAAACTAATAATCATTCACAAGCATAATTATATTGCACTGACACGGGCTATTGCAGAAACACTTTTGGGTTACAGTACATTTTCATCTCCTATTCCTCTGCAAATTTACACACTTGACATTTTTTACTGTAATGCTGCTCAATTGCAATTGAGCAGCATTACAATATCGGGCGTATTAGCAACTTGGAAGAGCAAAGTTGTTCAGTCTCCTGACTTTATTCACAGCAGCACTAAAAACACACTGCTTGTGTGTATGGTCCACTCCAAACGCATACAAGGGCCCGTTTGTAGACAGTACAAGACAGACAAAAGGAATTGTTTCTTAATCGCCTTACTGGCACCTGGTCCATTGAATTGTCCTCTAGACTGTGAGAGGTCATGAATGAAACACCCACTTAATACGTCTCATCTCAAATACATTTCCCCCCCCACAAACAACAGCTGTAATATGGATGCAAGCATGAAAGCTGGGCCTACTGTAATCAACGAGTCCCCCGTGGAGCCGTCGCATGCGTCCTGCTCAGAGCCGTACATTGCTGATGGTTGGACATTTAAAATGTAGGATCTTTGTTTTGTGTACACAACTATTACCACTTTACTAAATCAACCATTAGCACCCATCTATCACGCCTTTCCACCACCACAAGACGAATGAAGCCACCTCTGTGAATTCTGCTGCCGGGTGTTTACATTTAATTAACCTTCTCGCAACGATCTGTCGTGAACTTGGGCAGCAATAAAAAATAAAAAAAAGTCTACAAAACACAGGTGTTGTGGACTCTGCTGCACAAATGATTGTATGCGAAACCACCCAACGCGATGCATGCTAATTCAGTATAACAACTCCCCACCCACGCCTTCCTATTTTTACTTAGAACACTATTGGAAGATTTCCTTTTAAAACCACCCGTACACCAGTTGGAGGAGTAGAAATTGTGGAAATACTTAATGCGAGTGGATCTACAGGATTCAACAATGAAGACCGAGAGCCTTTAATCTGAGAATGCTTGATGCACAATTGCTTTGTTGCCATTTAATACAGATGTTCTTCTCCATAACGCCCACTGTTAAATGCAAATGTGCAACAGGCTATTTTTCCACAATGCACAGATGCATAACCACACTACAGTAACAGGATGAATTGTAGATGAGATAATTGTCTCCATAGTGAGCCACGATCGCCCACATGCAGGGCAGATACACTGCAGGTGGGAGGTGAACATGGTGTACAGACACTGAACCTCCTTCTCAACCGGAATGTGGTCCAGCAGCAGATCCTATACATGCACACCAATTTGAACAGCATGGCAAATATTCTCAGTCTATTTTACAGCTATTATTATGTGGCATGCAGATGTCAGAGTACACTACAGCATGAAATACTGATGCTGTTAAGAAAAATTCCATTCTTCCACAGAAGCACCTCACAATGTTTTTTTGATGTGCTGTTTTGCTTGTGTGAGGCCACTGGCATCTGTGGTATCGCTTGCTTTTTTTTACAATGTAATTCATCCTGTGTGATTGTTCTGGGTGTGTCTGGATAAAAGCACATCCAAGAGCCCGAGACCACAGGACAACACGTCATTCTTTAAGTCAATTTAAAATGAACATTCCACCTGTAAAAATAACTTTGCTTCAAGGCACAATGTCTGGTCCAGTTACAGGGAACTGGGAAAAAAAAAAAAAAAAACGTCCCTGTAGTGAAAGCATTTAAGCCAATTGGTGGTTGGGGTGTTAATATCTTCGTTCAGAGCAATAACAGAGCCTCATCAACGAAACAGAGGCAGATTTGGGTGTGTGTGTGTGTGTGTGTGTACAAAAACACTAACCATTGCATGTTCTGTGTGTGTACCAATCTGAGTCAGAACATCAGAGGCAGCTAGTAAAAGATGGAATTCATTCTTATCCGGGACTTGTCCTCATGCCTGTGCAAGCAAGCCACCCACCTCAGTTATAGTCAAAAGAAAAATGTCTGCTTTTTTAATATACAGCGAGATGGAAACACTAAAAGCACACCGTTTCAAAACAGTGTTGTAGCTGTATTGATGGAATTGAATAAATGAATCACAGAAACAATCCCCGTTATGGTGGACTTCTGGTAATTGAACTGTATGCTGAAGAAACAAATGAGCGCAGTGGAAACAGATCATTTCCTCCTCGCATCGCTGCAGAATAATCAACACAATCCATTAGCTTGCGTCATAACACAGCACACTTGAGTGGCATGGAAAATGAATGTAATGGGACACTGTAATGTCTCAAACTACGGACCACGCACTTCAACTATTTGGAAGTCCTCGCTTGACAGCACAAGATTCAATCAGGGAATTTCAATGCAAACCGGAAGCACCACTTGCTATTCAGCCTCCATGTCAGTCATTCAGCCTCAATCTCTGTCCCTCCGCCTCCTGCAGTCACAACGGCAAGCTTGTTCTCGTGGCGATTGTGTGTGTGTGTGTGTGTGTGTGTGTGTGTGTGTGTGTGCCTGACCGCTGGCTCAGGGCAGCAGACGTGTGCGTGTACCTGTTCGTATACGCCGCCATCTAGAAGCTATAAAGGGGCGGGCCGGTGGATCGTATGACGTGTTTCAATCAGTGAATTGTACGCGACATGTTCAAGCGGGAGCGCTTCGCCCTGCACCCGCTCATCAAATTAAGCCATTTTGATTTCTGAGAGCTCAATCCACGGCCGCCTTTGTCGCCAGTCAACTCCTGCGAGTGTGCCGAAAGGCTCCCTATGCAGTGCTCTATATTTACTGGGTGACTTCACCTGCCTGCAGGGCCTATACAGGAGGCCTTCGTTTGCAGTGAAGAAATCCACGCTGACTTCCACTTCCAGTGGCAAGGAAGATGGAGAGACCAACAGCGAGAAATGCAAAACTGTGGAGGGACGAACACTAACCAGGCGAGACAAACACTCCGTGGTGTTGACCGCTAGACAGAGTCTGTAAATCGAGCCGTGCACAAGCACAAGAACCGGCCTTCCTCAGGGCCTTCTCTAAACTTAAAGACAAGCCAGACGTCTGCGCCTCACGTGCTGCAAGAAAGATCCTGCAGGAAGCAAGAATGTCACTTTGCATCTCGTTGCTGCGCTGCACACTGCCAGCCCAGCATATGCACGGAGGGAGAGAGTCGTCGTCAATTTGCACTAAATGCATTATTGCATTAATATTTGAGGCGAATTTCAATTAATGCTGCGGTGGAGAGCATAAGCACTGCGTACCTGAGGGACATGAAGGTTTCTAGAAAACCTTTTACTATTTCTGAAGAGGTTTAGAAGCACAATGGAAAATGATACATTTTACGATTTTACATCTAAAAACGACGTATATTGAAATAAATCCATGTAACAAAGCGGATAATGCTTCTGTGTGACCTTATAGTCAAGTCAGACTTTTCGTTCTAACCAGGCTGCAGCTCAGCTGTCTGTGCGGCGTGCAGAACAAGATCGTAACCCTTTAAAATGTCAGTCCCTGCAGCCCCCCCACAACCACCACAGCAGCCAATGCCTCCCCCCCCCCCCACCGGACCCTTTTCCACAGAATGCCACGAGCACCCAGCTGTGAAAAGAGACAAAAGCCTTCACTTGAAGAAGCAGGCTTCTGCAGACAGAAATGAGCGCGCTGTGGTGTGTTAACAATACTTTGAATGAAAAGGCGGTTTCATGCATGGAAGCTGGGAGGCTTGCATTTAAGAATTGCTTGCTATCTGCACACTTCTCCTCTAATCCCACGTGAGATAAACAGACCGACTAGCTGAAACCAGCTGGCACGTCCTATTTGAGTTTGTGCTGAGGGAGAGCGTCCTCTCTAGTGTTGAACAGACAGAATCTTCTGCTCTCCCCCCCCGGCCTCGCCAGCTCAGAGACCTACATTCAGCCTAAATACATATGTATGATAGCAGATCGATGTGCTCTATCAGAGCGCTTTTAGATGGCGCCTGGTTAGCTTTATTTTAGTAGATTATGATGATTTCTCCTCTAAATCCATGCACACACAGAGACATACATACATACTAGCTGGGATAAGCAGAAGCGGTACAGTACTTGTTCTCTTGTCAACCTGATTATTTTCATTTTGGTACCATAAGAAAACCCAGTAAAACAGCATTTACTGCAAAGCAGTGCACAACGACGGGTTGGCTAAATCCTCTACTGCAGTAGCTTTTTTTTTTTTTTTTTTTTTTTTTTTTTTTTTAAAACAAACATCGGAGCATTCAGCCCTACGAGGACCCCCAAAGATAAGGATTGCATTATCTCCACCCATCCAATAAGAAAGAAAATGCTGAGAGAAGAATTATATGTGGGGGAAATATCATAACCTTGTTCTCAATTTATTATCTGAAGAACAATACATGAAAACCCACAAACAAGCAGGTTCCCAAATAGAAAAAAAAGGGAAGAACTTCCTGGCTGAACCAGGAGAATGTTGTGATGCTCTGTCACCAATTACCACAAATACTGAAGTACAAATACCGGGTGTCCTTCAGCAAAGAAATAAAGCAGATATTACGAACGCCAACACCTGTACTGCCACTTGTAGGTTGCAGTCATTAAGAAGTAGATTCATAAATATAGTTATGAGGTTTTGTACCGTTACAAACAACTTTCTATAGCTGCACGCTACGTCTCCTCCTGAAGGTCAGGAAGAAGCTTTCTGAATTTCAGTACTGTGGTTAATTACATTTCAATATAGGTGTGACTGCCTTTGTTTTTGACTGTTGTGTGCATCCATTGAATCATTGAATTTAATTTGTCTAAGAAATACGTGCTTAAAAAGTGATTATTGCACTCATCCTGTCCAGAATCAACACACACTTGTACTGAACTGAAGAGCAGGACTGAATGCACTTCTGACGCGTGTGGTCGAACAAACTTGTAGAAGGAAGTTACACACGACACTGAACTTAACTGCGCAGCTTCCGGCACTTTACTTTGATCCGTTTGGCTGAGGGAACAACAGTAAGCTATCCAAATGCAACAGTGTTATTTCGACACCGTGTCCGTCAGAGGACACTTGAACAGAGCCGATCAGGAGTCAAGTAAAACTGCAAACAATTGCAGATATTAAGAACTTGTTACAAGTGTCATTTTCTCCAATGACTTGGGGCTAAGATGGACTTGGCCTGCAAAGAGGAAAAATACATCACTTAACATTGAGAGAGATGAATGGATCCAAGTCGGACACTTTGATTTTGGCCTGTTGGGGAAAGAATTAAAGTAGTTTGGATTTACTACCTTCGATTGATGCGTCTACTCCTGCAAAGGGGATTCGGCAAATATTGGTACATTGTAAGGGACATATATATGTTTCCTTTTTATAGTTCAAAGGGTTTAAGAAGCAACAGATGATGGTTTGTTTAATTTTGAACTGATCTGGCAAAGCTTGGTCCACATTATTTGAAAAGGATTTTCATTAATTAATATATAACATTCTAAATATCTCACATCAGTGGTTTTATGAGCTAGCCAAAAATGTTACACGATGTGCCACTTTTTTTAATCAGGCCCATTGATAATTGTATATTCTACAATAAACTTTGTAGTACAACAATAGCCTTTCATTCCACTGTCTGTTAAATCGACCAGGCATCTGTTTGCAATAACATAAGTCCATTGATATGATTTAAGCAGTAATTATTTAATTGTAAAACAAACCTTATTCTTATTATCACATGATCGAGGGCAGCATTCAAGTTCAATATAATTTGAACGGGTGACATAAAAACAAGTTCCCCTGCAAACCCCTCGTGAAACAAACTGTTCTTCTCGACCCTCTTGAGTCATCTCAAACATTTTCTTTGTCCTGTCAACAGAAGAAAGGCCGGCAAAATATGACTATATATGACAAAGGGAAAGATGAAAGGAGTAGGCACAGTGACAAATAGCACAGCGTTTCTTTTCTCTACTTAGGAAAATGAATGACGTAGAAAGCGAGCTCAACGAGCACTCCTCTTTTCTCAGGGTGGCATCAAACCTGCGTTCACATTTTTTTTATATTTCCTTCAACGGCAACGGACTGTAAGGGACACAGAATGGAGAAGCACGGAAGCTCCAAGAGATGGGCCTGACCTCTTTTTCTGAAGGACTGTGAATGACTGTCAATGACCTACGCTGTGGGCCTGGTAGAGTCTAAATCGAGTCACCAAGGGTTTCCTTTAAAAACGGTTTGCTGTAGAAACGGCTCCCTCGCTGACTGGAGGCCGGTCAGGGGATGGCGGCACACATTGGGCCTTTTGGGGAGAACGTCACAACGACAGACGTCTCCAGCAAACCAGCCTGCTCCCAGACTAAACACCAGGCGCGAGGCAACATGAATGCAATTAAGTGCAGACACACACACAAGTTAGGCTCGTGTCTGTCAGAGAGGGTTTCTTCTTGGCAAATGGTAACATCCAACTCCTGTTGCTGAATGTGTCACATTTGGATAAAGGACTGTCTCTGTCTCACATGAACACACACCCTTTGATCTCTTTCTGCCCGAGAGGGACACTGTCTGAGTCTGTATCACAACATCGGTCATGAGAGTTTAAAGTGTGCAAATGGAAAACTGCGGATACGCCAACTCAACGAACTGGAGTTGGCTGGAAAATGTTCTACAAAAACATCATCTATTGCAAAACTTCCGGGTGTACTGGAACCTCAACAGCCACTACCTACACGATCGTAGCTATAATTGCCTCTTATTATAATATTACCAGAATAGCCATAAAAGCCACCTCGATCGTGTCTTCAGGGGCAGAACATTGCGATTATAATGAACCATTCTATCATATTGCAATAGAAAAAGTGAAATTCACACCGTGGCGTTTAGATTTCCTCATGGTGGCACAAAACACCAAAAAGATATTACAACATGTCGGTGGTTGAAGCCTTTACCACAGCGGGTAAGGGAATACTGGAGCTCCACCACACAAGCTTACAACTTCTCTGTGTGTTCTATTCACGAACACATATGAGAATGTTCGGGGGACACATTTCCCCAAAAGTGCAGACTGACATGTGACCACTGGGCAGTGACTCCTGAAAGCTCCTCCCTCCTCTTTTGTGTGTGTGTGTGAGAGAGAGGGAGACGTCCGTTTGCTCGCCTGCATGGCCTCTAGCTGCCTCTGCCTGCAGACACTTAACATCGCCATCCCACCTGTGGAGATTTCTGAAGAACAACGTCGGCCTCAAAGCCGTGCAGTGATTGGGCTGTGATTACCATGGGGACTTGACTCACTGCATGTCCTCTGCAGGACTTTTGGTCGAGTCCGGCATGAAGAAGTGGACATTTTTTCAAAAGGAAACGAGAGATTTAAGCCCCCTTTCCAGGTGCCTTTCAGGGGTTTACATGATGATTTACCTTGACTGTTTTTTCAAAGATCCTGCCTCCTGATACCAGAGGGAAGAAAAAAATATATCCCGGCTGCTGCGACCTTTGGTGCCAAATATGTGAATAAAAATAAGATTTTATTTTTTCAGGTTTTTGAAGGAGGTCTTGAGCAACTGGCACAGATGCATCAGTCGACAAGCACTTTGATAAAGAGGTAAAGAGGCACTGCCACAATGACATGAAAGTCCAACTGGGTTAAACAACAACCGTCATCTCTGCTTTTCTGTAGCTAAATGCCACTGACAGGAACACAATCCATTGTTGCAACTGATCAGGTGCCAAGCGCCCTCTCCTCGGTGCCCTGCTGCACTAAAGCCCTCTGTGGAGCTGGCACGGCCCGGCATGGTCCAGCACGGCCCGGCATGGCCTGGTGGCTACGTGCCCTGCTTAGTATCTCTGGCCACACAAGCTGTCTCCAAAGTCGGACTTAACTGTCAGCTGCCCGTCTCGTATGCCCGAGTGAAGCACTTGGACGAGGTTAATAGGCGGCAGAATATGTAGTAAAGGCAAACCAGTTGATTTGATGTACATCATCCTCATCTTCCTAATGACCAGGAGGAAACAGTGGAGTTAATTTCATTAGTGTTGTACCAGCTCAAATACAATCTGATATTAAATGACTAAAGGTTGTATTATGTAAATCTTTGTCAGGGGACATGAAGATGGTTTTAAAAATACCATAGCAATGAATTAGTGGCCTTACCATCTTTATAGGCAGGCGTATGTGGTAGATGTTTTAAATCAGGCCAACAATAAAAGAAGCGTACATGGGCATCGAAATTAAACCAAGCTGTGGTATTTGCAGTAAAATGAACAGATAACCAAGAGTGAACTTGCTTTGATTTACTATATGAAACATATGGCCGTTATGTATTCCATCACAATCTACATGTTCAGCCATCTGGCCCAACATACTGTGGTAATTGCAATGACACGTATGTAAAAAGCCGTAGCCTTCGATAAGATGATATTCTAGGATATGCATCACAAAAGAATATACGGAGCTCTCTCATGTTTGATTTACACATGCTAACTGTATGTTCCTACATCACAAAGGTCTGTGACTAAGCATACAGATGGAGCACCACATCCATGTTTACAGCATTTAACTCGAAAGACTACGAATAACGTTTCACCCCGAGCCGTCGATGACATTTGTGGCCCTGAATGCATTTGTCTTCGACCTAAAATCAAAAGAAATTCGCACAGAAACCTGAAGTTGAATGCATCGAAGCACGTACTGGCATGAAGGCAGGTGCACCTGTCTGCAGTGGCAGCCCATTGTGTTGCCTACCAAATGAGCCACGAATCGGCCCGTGTTGCTCTATGTGGACAAATGAATGAAAACAGGTCCGTCTCTTACCGTTCTGCTTTCAGTCATTACTCCCCATCCTCACGTTTCGCAGTCCAGACCTCTGTCGAGCCGTTAATTCCTGTCAGGCTGTCTCTCCCTCTGTCATATTTCTCCGCTGCAGCAGAACAAAGCCACGCCTCCTCCAGCAGCCGCCACGGCGTGACGTCAGCCGGCGAGCACGTTCGGCCCACGCCCCCTTAGAAACGCACTTCCGGGAAGGAGCCGCAAGAGGCCGCTGTGGCGTCACGTAAGCTGCACCTCTTTACCAGTCTGTTGCGTGTGGCTTAACTTATTTATGTTAATGTATTATAGAGAAGAACGTTTTACTGAGTTTACACTAAAAGTAAGGCACTGTTGAAACAGAACCATATGTTAAGCTAATAGTGTAGTTTAACACATTTCACATTATGCTTCCGAGAAGTAATATAGTGCTGAAGAAGTGGACTATAAAATCACAACGTCACCCACGAACGCTATGTCCTCATTGCTTTGTTTCCCTTTACCCCAATAAACACTTACACGACTTTACATTCTATTCCTTGCTGAAACGTTACCAAATATACCATTCTCTACATTTACTGGTGAGATAACTCGGGCTTTGACAATGGACACACATTTTATGTTGTAATTATATAAATCTAACAGCCAAAAGTATCTACATATTACGATGGCTGTACACGTTTGATGTTGTGCTGATACGCAACGGCAAATCTATAATTGACGTAGCTTTGCAGGTGACATCAGAACCTGCAAAAACTACGTGCAGTCCGCGCTCATTGTCCCCATCGCTGCTCTCTGCGACCGCACGAGGTATTTCTGTCCTGCAGTCACAGCGCACCTGCTGCACGGACACTGCGCGCCTCTGCACAAACTCCTCCTGACTGACCGCGGGCTTCTTCTCCTTCTCTTCCTTCTTCTTCTCCTTCTTCTCGCTCCCAGCTGAAAGTCCTCGGCGGCGGGGGGTGGTGGAGAGAGAGAGAGAGAGAGAGAGCAGCCATGCGGTCCGTCGCCGCGTTTCTCGTCGTCCTCGGAAGTGTCGGATTGATCGGATGCAAGCCGTCCTCGTCCTGTCCGAGAGGACAGTTCCTGCTGAGGAAGCAGCAGTGTGTCCTCTGCCATCCCACCTGCTCCGAGTGCGACGGGCAGGAGCTGTTCCAATGCACTACCTGTGGAGTGGGTGAGTGAAATGTCCTGCACACCTTCTTGCAACTTGCCGTGCCATCACGGAATCCTTCACACATCCCATTATGAATTCAATATTTTATGTATTTTATTGAAAAACGGGATGTTTTGTATTTTTCCTATCCTGGTTATGCAAAGGACAATACATAAATCACCGCTAGCTAAACAAAGGCTTCATTGAAGTTAGACAATAACCTTCACCTAAAGATTGACTTCCCATGTGATCAGCGAATGACTTGCCATTGGCCACAATTCCTCTGCTTAGTTTTAGGCTTTTTTGTTGAGAGGCTTCACAGATGCCTGAACAGATGCTTTTCAAAGCGGCTCTTTTTAATGATTTACCGAAGCAAAGTAGTTTGAAGGCTTTTGACTTGGAAGAGGAGCGTTCACCTCGGGTTTACCATTTACCCTCGTCAAATAGTCACAGATTGGCTGTAGAACTCTTCGGGGTGGATTAGTCCTGTCACAGGGGCGCCTTTTGAAACAGGTAAGACTTGAAGGTGTGATTGTTTCTCTTCCCGGTGTAATCTGATCATGTTAGAATGGGCCCTTTGTTAATCAGAGGCAAAGGAAAAAATATCCCCTTGGGCCCGAAGCATTACTGCCACGGTTCACTGGGCTTAACCTGAAAAACCTTCAAGTCTTGCTTTCTCTTTTCCCCGCACATTACCCTCTATTTTAATACACATAAACATTTTCACAATGATGCATCGCATCAGTAGTTATCACTTGTACACACCCAGCCGGTATATATCGGTGAGATGTTCTCTCTGAACCAACTCTGAAAGCCAAAAGACTCCAGTGTTCCCTCGTGCTCTGTTGCACGTTGCCACATAGAAGTCCACATGTCTCTCCGCACGCTGAGGTCGTCTCTCCGGGAAGGTGGAAGGGTGAGAAAGGTAGCGGCAGTAGCAGCCTCTGGCCGCTTTCCCGCCCCGTCAAGTGCAGCAACGAGCAGACGAGACGATGCTGAAGCTTAGATGCTTCCAGGCTGCAGGTGGGTGGCAGAGAATTGGTCAACAGCAGACTGTGCCTCTGTCTCCACTCACAGCTCCGATCCCGACATCATCAGTCTCGTATAAGTCATACGAAACTGTGATCTGTCATTTGTAAGCCGAGAGCCGCCCCGCGCCGCGGCCGTCGGTTCATGGCGTTGAAATCCATTTGTTCAGCGACTATATTGGGTTTTAGATTAAGGCGACATAGTTCAGGTGCTGTAGACCCCACGAACTTCAACACAGTCAGTAGCGCGTCTTTTTATCGCTCTTTCTCTCCCTGCGATGCTCGGGCCTATTTGGCTCTACGTCTGCATTCATCATGACGAGCTCACTGATTTCCACTTTTAGAAGAGAGGAGATTTTTGGGGGGGGCTGTTTCTCGGCAGGAGCTCCATATGGCCGATGGCACCAGCGTCAGATGAGAAAATACAGTAAGCTTTACTTTAACAAATCGCCTGTGTCCTCCTCCTACTCTCCCTCCCCAGATGAAGATGGACAGGAGCGTTTCCTTCAGCAAGGTCGCTGTCGGACGCACTGCCCCCGGGGGTTCTATCCTGACAGAGGTCACTATGCATGTCTGCCCTGCATGGCCAATTGTGAACTCTGCACAGATGGCAGCATGTGCGCCAAATGTCGGGAACACTACAAACTCCAAAATGGAGTGTGCCAAACTGCGTCCTGTGCCGTAGGTAAATGTAAAGCGCAGTGTCTGTGTCGCCTGTGGCTCAAGGGAAAGTGATTCGGTGTCTTCATGCTGGACGTCTGCGTTTCAGGGCAAGTGCAGGACCCGGATACGGGGGAGTGCATCGACTGTGAGATGGGCTGCAAGACTTGCTCCACAGGCAAGTGACACAATCGTGCTATTTGAGCACCACACTAGTCACTTCTTAATGTAAGGTTGATTGGCTATGTATTTTTGTAATTATGGTTATAATAGTAGTGCACAAAGCAGGATGCTTTTCGCTATGAGTTCCAATAATCCCCTTTTGTTTGTTTTTGCACAGAGGACCCTGAGATCTGCAACAGCTGTGCAGAGGGTTACTTTCTGTGAGTATTATGTTTTGGGGGGTTGTCTGTACATGTGTACATACCAGGTGGCACCCTACAGGTTTTATAACTGAGGTCAACGCGGAAGTCCCATAAAATTGCCTTATTTCTAAATGACAGCGGCGAGCAACTCCTTTGGTTGAAAAGATGTAGAAGTCTATGAGAAAATGATCTTACTTCTTAATGATCTACTACTTGAGTAAACACGGGTTCATTGTCTCAATCAAGTCTTCATCATCAGAAAAATTTGGTAAAATTCTGGTCATCTTAATAAATAAATAAATAAATAAATAAAATTCACAGATTTCATTTCATGAAAATGTTTGCATAATGTTTGGTTGCCTAAAAATGTCTTATTCAGCGTCCGGTTGTACTCGGCTCAAACATCTTGTGTTTGAGCCGAGTGACTGGTACTAAATAAAGATTGGCCCGCTATGGTCAATCTGACACAAATGATTAACAGCGTAAGATTTGGTTGGCAAAGGTCACTGTGACCTCACTAAACATGTTTTAGCCATCATTCAATTAATCGAAAGCTAAATAATTCTTCTAAAATTCTGACAAGCAAGTATGCAAGACGACTTGTTGGCTGTTATTCCAACTAACTACATGAGCTCGGGATCTTTTTAAATTTTTACCATATAGAATGAATCAATTTGCTGTTTTTCACCTTTCAATAAATCCAGTAAATGTTTCTAAACGCCACAAGAATCTACATATCATCCCTATATCTGTTTACACCACAGTATCACCTGGAGGTAGGACAGACCTTCGATTGTTACTTCTCCCCCATGTTGAGGCCTCCTGGCGTTGTGTTGGTCGGGTTACCTTCCATCCGGAGCAATACACTGTTACCTGAGCCTCGGTTTGAGCACAGAAGAGCAGTTGGCTTCACAGACATACTGGACCGTGTGTTTTTATGTTGTGTTTGTGAAGAAGAGGAGTAGAGAAGAGAACAAGTAGAAGTGGAAAGCGTAGCCCGGCTGGATTACACCTTGACCTCACTGGCCGCTGTGAGTCCCAGAGAAAGAGGGGTCAAGGAAAGCGCTCCGCTTCACTGCCTTTTCGGCTGTGAATTGAATTGTGTAACTTTTACTTTAAGAGCCATGGTTAAAGGCCATCTCAGTCATTTCTGTGGGAGCGGTGTTTATTACATCTACCATGTGAGGCAAACGGCAATAAAAGAAACCCAGTAGAGCATGGGGGGGGGGGCGCGATCATCAGCTGCAGGAACAGCATGATAGATTGTGACAGCTTCAAGCCCTTAAAGAAATTCCACCACTGAGGTTTTGCTGGTAGTAATGAAAAATGTTTAAACCAGACAGCTTTGGCACAACTATCAATCTGTGGAGCCAATGTTATTCTCTACTGAAGAGACTCAATGAATGATGGATGTTTGGTGTTTTTTGGCATTTATCTTCATCTCCATGGAATACGATTTAGGGATTACATAGAGCACATTCTCACTCACTGATTCAAGAAGTAAAAACCAGAAACAATAGTTCCTTTGGAAATGCTGATGTGCTCTCCTGGTATGGAAAGTCTAATATTTGCACAGAGGGATTCTTAAACATCCCGCAGGTTACGGCCATTGGGTGGAAGTTGATGGATGTGGTGTGGCGCCTCCAGCTGTTCCTCCCTAAACAACCACCGCATCTCACCACCAAATCCATGGCAACGCAGCCGGAACTGCGCACAACGTGTTGTATACGTTATCGGCTGCTGTTTAGTTTCATTTGCAGTGTTACGTCTCTAAATTAGGAGTCACTCTTGTTTAAATGTTTTATGTGTGACATTTTTGCAGCTCAATATCTCGGCTTCTTGAGGCTGAATCTTTTTTTGGGAGCGCTGTCTCTTGTTTTATAGCTCAATTCAGCCCCAAAGGACTAATAGGACAGGTTAATGAGAGAAATCTCCCCATGCCTCTGGGCTACAAATAAAATACCAATTAACTTGTTCCCTAAAGAAGAGACAAAGCCGCCTACATTATGTTTTGCTGTCTGTTTGCTGTCCTTACTGATGTTTGGCTGAGTCCAACCTTTTGGGTTAAGGACAGCATTGAAGTCACAACAATGGACCTGCAGGTGTGCTGTGGACTGACGCAGTGCAGGATTTGCTGTTGCGAGCGGCGTGTTTTGTCTTCTTCCTGGTTTCGGTTGATGTCGCCTCAGACTCATCCATGCGGGCGAACGAAATCCTTCTCCATTCACTGAGGGGCTTTGAAAGTTCAAATTAAATCAAAATAGTTTTCATCGGGTCTTTTGATATTTCAGTGGCTTTGTCCTGCATGTTTGCTTTGGAGCTTGTTTTTGTGGCGGCTGGTTTGACCGATTTCACCCACACCCTGAGTTTCAGATATACGGCTTGTTTGTTGTTGTGGATTAACAATACACAAGTTGGGATGGTTTGATTTCAACTTTTTCTTTTGCAGTTTCAGACACCAGTGTCGCCGGCATTGCCCCCAGAGCACCTACGAAGACTGGGGCAGGGGTCTCTGTCTGCCGTGTCCTGCACCGTGCACAGACTGCAGGGGCAACGCGCGCTGTCTGGCCTGCCAGCCCGGTTACTTCCTCAACGGTACCGCTATCAAAGAATGACCAATCCTGTGTATATTTTACTCGTAAAGTCGGATTCAGGTGACCTGCTTGTCCTTCACAGTACTAGTAGAGTTTGGGTCTGATAAATCCCTGGCTATGTGAGAGCGATCGATCATTCTTCCTCACGAGCAACGACGGCAATCTTGAGCCTTCATTTGAATTGCAAATGAGGCCCGCGTCAGCAAATCAGCAACATGAGATATGCAAATCAGCGGTTTATGCAAACAAGGAATTATGATTGTGTTTCTAGATTGTCTTCTCCGCGGGCATCTAAAAAAACAATTACTTTGAGATTGTAAGTAAAGCCTGTAGCCATTTGATAAAAGAATAGCGAGCATTCAATGTGATTTTAATGTACATATTTGTGGTTGTACATTGTGTTTAATTTGACAAAAGGTCAGTTTGTTCGTTCCCCTTTAGTCACAACGTCTAATTTGAGAAATTGTTTTTGTGAGATTATGGTGGCTGGGCGTGCGGATGGAAATTGGAGAGCGAGATCCTGAGAGAGCAGAAAATGAAGAGATGAGCTCTTCTAATGAGATTTTATTCTGAGACCACATCAGGGCCACATTGATAGTTTTTATTCTGAATGAAAATAGATGCGGATATGAATTCTGAACGTTGTGTTTTTATTATTTTTGGAATGTTTTTTTGGGGGGGGGCTTCCCTCCTGCTGTTACTGTATCACATTCCGCCTGCATTAGAGCAGCACTCTCTTCAAAACGTCTCTCACTAAATATTGGTTCAAATAGATCTTTTGAAGATGACTATTTTCTGATACAGATTGAGGGCTGTGCCAGAAAAACACTAACTTCTTCTCTGCTTCCTGGCCGGTCAGGAGGAGACTGTTTAAAACAGTGCCCGCAGCAGACCTTCAGTGACTCCAGTGGGTGGCTCTGCCAGTCCTGCCACACCTCCTGCCAGACATGCCACGGCCCTCGGGCGACCAACTGCGACCTGTGTCTCGGTGGGAACCCTCCTGTGCACGGGCAGTGCCCTCCGGTCAACTGCCCGCTGGGACAGTACTATGACAGTAAGAGGAACAACCAACTGCTAATGGGATTAAAGCAAATTGATCAGGTGACAGGGGAGCCAGAGATTGAACCGAATGGCATGATGCTTGACTAGTTGATTCCTGCATGGAAATAATAGTTTGTCTCCTATTAGAGGCTAGAATGGTGTTCCAGGAATGGGGTGGGATTCAGTGTGTGGCTCAAGGACGCGTTAGCGTCGTGGATTCTTGCCGCTGAGGCGGTAGCTTGGACCCCTGCTGGAGGACCTAAAGGCTGAAGGACGCTCACTGTGTCACACTGGCTCACCCGCACTACCTCACCTCTCATTCTAAAGCCATTTTAGTGTAGTGTGTTTCAAAAAGCTTCTCTGCCTCAAGCACACGGCTCTTCAACTGCTTCCCCCGTGGCGTCTGGCTCGACAGAATTAGAATATCACACTCGGTTGTTGACAGCCATACGGGGTAACCGGGCAGATCGGTTAGTTATTAAAAAATATTTTTTGATATATTTTGGTAATATCACAGCAATTTTTACATTCCAGTTATAGCTGATATACAGATATTATTAAAAAGCTTAGTTAATCCCACTTGAAACCCTTATGCCTACTCCCAAGCATATAGAGTAGGAATTGTATGTACGTGGACATGAACGGTTCTCTACAATAATGGATCATTTCGTGGCTTCCCTGTTGTGAATGACCGGTAATATTATACAGGTTTCACCTACCCGAACCGCATCCATCATTTGTGCCTCAATATTATTGAAATTCATTACTATGCTTCCCTCTAGTGGTAGAGGTGGGTAAAGCAGAGAATTGTGCAGTTCCAGTGCTTGCGTGCTCAGGTTGAGGCACTTGTCTGTTTTCTGTCAAATGAAATGTGATGTCATGTTATTGTGACATATGGTCACTGTGTGTATTGCTTTGTTTTTAGGGAAATATAGTGAATGTCTCGCTTGTGATGGATCCTGTAAAAGCTGTTTTGGCCCACAAGCGCTGGATTGTTCTTCTTGTTTCAAAGGTACAAGTATTTACCGTCTTCATGTCTGACTGTGAATTGAAAAATCAGCTCCAGCTCCTTTTGTGCATTGCGTGCGTGCATTTGTGTGTCACAGGATATTTCTTGGATCAGGACAGTTCTTGTGTCACGCAATGTCCATCCGGCTCCTACGCAAACGCCGCCACTCAGCTGTGTGAGGACTGCTCGCCGAGCTGCGAGGCCTGCCTGGACACCAGTGATAACTGCGTCAGCTGTGCTAAAGGCAGCTATAAACTCTTTCTCCACCAGGGGAGGTGCTGGTCAAATTGCCCAGAGTAAGTTGGATAAGCTAAGCAGCCAAATGAAGAGACCCTTTGTGTGGATGCCGTGCTCTTTGTGCGTTTAACAAGCCTGCCGACTCATTTCAGAGGCTTCTTTGAGACCGCAGAGGAGTCGTGTGAAGCCTGTGACAGCTCCTGTTTGTCATGTGACGGGATCAAGTCCCAGTGTCTGTCCTGTGCTGATGGCCACTACTTGGAGAGTGGTGTGTGTGGACTCAACTGTTCACTGCAGACATACCCTGCAGACGATGGTACCTGCCGACGCTGTTCTCCCCACTGTGACGTCTGCTCCGACGAGACGACCTGTTTCAGTGAGTCATCGGCCGAGTGGGCAGCTTTTTAATTCTGAGTGGATTCCATTTTTAAATGAATTGTAAGACTTTGCATCACACCCGGAAATCTTATATCACACCTCTTTTAATATCATTTCAGAATGCAGCTTCCTTTACCTGATTCTGAACGGTGTGTGTAAGGCAAGCTGTCCCCCGGGGTACTATGAGGACATGGATGAGGGCCGCTGTGGCCAGTGCCACCCGACATGTGGCAGCTGTTCGGGGCCCCTGGCAGATGACTGCGACACCTGCTTGACATTTAGCCCCAAACTTTATAAGGGAACATGCTCCAAAGACTGCCCCACTGGTACCTACTATGAAACGGAAGCACTGGAATGTCAAGGTAAGCTTCTCGATAGGACCTGGATTTATTACATTTGCACACATTGCAAAACCAAAATCTCTTACTGAAGTAATAGGAAAAAGAAATCAATCACTAAAAAAAAAATGGCTGTGGAGCAATAAACGCCATAAGGCCAACTAAGGAATTTAGAACGAGGTTCGGGACAGACAAAACTATGACGTGGACTTGATACTACCATGAAGAGGGTGTGCAAGACGAAAGGACATGACCCACTGGCACAGGACAGGGGGAGACGCAGACTATAAGCACACATGAGGGAAGTGTGGGAGCAGGTGGACACAATCAGGAAGCAGGGAAGACCATCAGACTGGTGACTCATGAGGAAGGGCAAGGAACCTGAAACGAGAGGAGAGTTAATTTCCCCCCCAAAAAACAAGTCACAAACCCAACATGGAGACAGGACAAAAACCCAACTTGACATAGAGGTGTGACCATAAAATATGTCAAATGCAAAAGCGTTTCTGTGATAATAATTAATAAGCACATTTCTTTCAAGTCCACTTGGATACAAGGAGGACCTAAAAAGATTTGTTGGTGGTCAAAGATCAAGCTCACTGACCTGAATATTTTAACTATAATAAAAAAACTAATGGAATAAGATAAAATTGTTTAGCAATGACATTTTGGACGTAGACCCCAAACTAATTCTATTAATGACATACTCTACAAGCTTTTTATGATTTACTGTACATTTCTTTAGTATACTAGGCCAATGGTTCTTTTAATGACATCCTTAAATATACATTTTTTATATAATATATATATATATATATATATATATATATATGTGTTTATATTCCTTTATTTCCCATCCCCAAGCTCAGATTCTTCTCTCTCTCTCACACACATTTGACACAAGACACAATTAACAATTGGAAGTTTGTTTGTGCTTATCGAGAAAGCCTTAAATCCACAGTATGCAAAACCAACACTACCGCTCCTGTCTTTTATCTGTAATGTCTATTTGGGCTTGACGCGAAGCAAAATCCGCTTTAAGAGATCATTTACCTTCTTGTGGGCATCACGGCCCTTTTCGCAAACACGGTCGCGCGACGTTCACCTGACACAGCCTTGTTTGTTCCACCGTGTGCAGAGTGCCACCAGACCTGTATGAGCTGCTCCGGCCCAGACGCCAACCAGTGCACCCAGTGCGAGAAGGGCCTTGTGCTGGATCCAAACACGTTGTTATGTGGCGTGACAGGTGACACCGACTGCCCACAAAGGACCTACCTACACGACGACCGCTTCACCTGCATGCGTTGCCATCAGCACTGTTACTCCTGTGAAGGGCCCGGCAACGACGAGTGCCAGACCTGTGCCGTCCCCAGATACCTCCATAGTGAGCATGTTCCCACCACTTCTCACTGCATACTCGAGCGGGTTTGGGGTTGAAGATGAACGGAAATCAGCAGAGGAAAACTGGCCCATAACGATGGCTCTCCTGAGATTGTTTAACAGTTTAAGTTTGCGGTGAAATGATAGATTGGGTGTGGAACTTTGGGTTTATTTTGCAGACAGCACTTGTGTGAGCGAGTGTCCAGCTGGCACCTACGACTCGGAGCAGGATGCCGACGGAGCCGAGCTCGGCCTCTGTGTGCCTTGTGATCACGCCTGTTCCACCTGCTCGGGGGCATCCCCCAAAGATTGCCTCACTTGCTCTCCCGGATACTTGCTTCATCTCCTTCAACTCTGTGTCACACATTGTCCCACACGGTACGACATTAAAGCCTCCCTTTTATTTACCTTGCGATTAAACAAAATGGGCTGTTGATCTTCTCCCCACCCTTATCCACTGATCCAACCAAATAAAAGAACACGTGTGGTTTGCTTGATGCTCCGTTTCTATGCAAATTCCTCTACTCTATTGCTACAGGTATTACAGAGCGGGCTCCCACTGTGAGAAATGTGACCCGTCCTGTGAGCAGTGTACAGGACCAGGTCCTGAGTCCTGCCTGGCCTGTTCACCTCCTCTTCTGGAGCTGCACGGCACCAAGCTGTGCGTTGAGCGCTGCCCACACCGCTTCTATCAATTCAATGAGTTCTGCTATCAATGCCACACCAGTTGTCAGACCTGCACAGGTACTGACGATAAATCTCATAAATATATTTCTGTTCCCTCCACCTAATGTCAATATTGAACATTTGCCGTTCCCGTATCCTCCATATGTACGTGTGTGTGCAGAGGCCTCGCCCCGGGCGTGTGTTGCGTGCGACCGGGGAAGCACTTTAAAGGACCGAGTCTGCTACCCACACTGTGAGGAGGGCCGATACTTTTCGGAAAAGGTATAATTATTATATGCATAATATTTGACGGCTAGAGAGAAAAACTGTTTTTGTCCTATTTATATTCAACCCTAAGTGCAAAGCAATCACACACATTTCTCAATAAATTAGTGCACTGCTACATCGCAAGAGTCGATGTGCTTTTGTTGTATCTATAAATGAAATAAGTCCTTTTATACACATTGAGACATGATAATTAATCACATCATTAAATATGAGACATCAGCTTCTCTCTATGTATCTGGCCGACAAAGATTCAGAAGTTCTGATGTATTTAAAAATTCTTATTTTTTATCATGAGGAGCATCTCCGGGCAGATAATACAACCCAGAAATCAATAAAAGGCAAAATGGCGTTTTCACTCTGTTCCAAGCTGTCCCATTACTGATCAAATGTCTACAGCCGACTTTCTTAAATTACCCGTCTACATAAAGTATTTACAGTTTGAATTTGTACCATTTGTAGGAAACCTGTGAGCCATGCGACGGCTCCTGTAGAGATTGCAGCGGCCCCGGACCTGACCAGTGTCTGACCTGTCACCGGGATTCTGCTCTCCATGCTGTGGAGAGCCGCTGCGCCCGCTGCTGCCGGGCTGCAGGGAATGAAACAGGTTGCTGTGTTTGTGACAGCAGCTCAGGTAGGAACCCTCGCTCATCACCACAAACACCCTCGGTGTTATTTGACCGTCTACTAAAGGCAGTTTTTTGTTTTTGTTTTTTTGTCCTAGCTCTGTGTGTGGAGGCCCCCCGCCCCAAGCCAGGGGAGGACCAGGTAACAGACCTGAATATGTCCTCTCGAGCTCTGGAGCACACCTCTGCCGGCCTCCCCGTCGCCCTGCTGCTGGCGCTGGCGTTGGCTCTGGCCGTGTTCGCCTTGGTCAAGGCCCATGCCAGGAAGAGGCTCTGCTGGGGCCAAAGCTACGAGAGGCTGAGTGGCAGCAGCAGCATGAATATGCCCCATGGTGTTCCCGAGCCGGACAGCGGGGACGAGGTGGACGTGGTGTACACCAGCAGAGGTGGATCGGTCTATCGACGTTACAGCTTTATCCACGAGCAGGACACCGACGCAGACCCACGCGTCGGCGAGAGCACTCGTCTCAATCAAGCTTAGGTGCACACGTAGAGATCACAAGAAGAGGAATGTCTGTTTTTCCTTTGGTACATTACTTTATGAGCTATTGGGTTTATTCTACTCTCTACTGTACCTCCTGTAATGCACATTCAAAGTAGAAACATTTGTGGGTTAACAGTGAAAACAAAATACATACATAGCAGTCAAAGGGTTGGGCACATTTTGTCATTCAATTCAATGACTGGCACTGTATGTGTAAATGTATTGAAATGATAAATAGATCAGTACATCCGACACTCCCTCCAGCTGAAAGTCTATCTACCACTCCATCACTCTGTGTGGAGGTCTGAAAGCACTTCTAGATAGTCGTTTTTTAAAAGGGAACACAAACCAATCTGAGCTCAGCCCCTTTAGCAAATAAAGGTTTTGCGATCATCTTATACCGAACAGCCGGACCCTCAGGGAAGGGGGAGGGGGGGGGGAAACTACACACAAGCACACTCAAAATACACTCTGTGACTCAGACTCCTGAAACTCATTATGTATCTTTATGGCTAAAGGTGACAAAAGTGTCTAAGTTACTATGGTCACAGTTGTATTTGTAAGTTGTGAAAAACGTTGTGCTTTCAACTGTCTCACATCTGAACAACAGTTTCTTAATGATTGAAGAATGCTTCTAATTGTTTGATTTACAATTAGTTATAGTCAATATGAATTACAGGAACTTAAACAAAATAAATCAATAGGTTCTGTTTCTAAGACATTTTAGGTGTGTATGACTTTTCCTTTTTCACTTGATATTAAAGTGTTTTTGTTAAACAGTACAATTCTCATGTAGAAATCTGAATGATCTGTATTAAAATGAAATAAAAATAGTTTCTACTCGATGTCGCCGGTGCACCTTGAAAACTGGCCACATTATGATATATTTAAAATGTTCAGTATTATAAAATGATGAAGATATTTAGGGTGAGTAAAAGCAACAGATGCAGGTTATGGCATTTTTAAGTGTCTTAATCTGTTTTTACAGCTACAATTAATAACTTTGATATACAGGGCATCTGGAAAGTATTCAAAGTGTTTCACTCCTCCTCCAGAATGGATTAAATTAATTTCTTAGACCTACACACAAAATAGACATAAAAAATGAATAAAACAGGTACGTAAGTATTTACAGCCTTTTCTCAGCATTTTGTCGAAGCACCTTTGGGTTAAAAAGCCTTGAGTCTTTTTTGGAGTATGATGCTACGAGCATGGCACACCTGTTAGTTGTTTTCAGGTTTTTTCATCAAGGATGTTTGTGTTCATTGGTGCATTCATCTTTGGATCCGGACTCGTCATCCTGTTCCTCCCGCGGAGAAACCCCCCCGCAGCATGATGCTCTTGGTGGGGTGATGAGCGGTGCCTGGTTCCCTGCAGAGATGGTTGTCCAGAGTGGCCTTTGGTTTCTGGGTGCACCTGCCTAACAAAGGCTCTTCTCACCTGTTTTTCACCAGTGAAATGTGTGTAAAACTTAACTTAATCCATTTTGGAATCAAGCAGTAACATAACAAAATGTGGAAAAAGTGAAACAATGTGAATAGTCTCCAGATGCAGAGTAAAGTTCAGCAAACCAGTGCCTTATTATCAGTTATCCATTACTAGAATCTCCAGGCATTAAACACTAACATCCGTTAGATCATATAGATGAATGACTTATAACCAATAAGTCATTCATTCATTTTGACAAATGATTGGATAGTATAGTCAACAAGTTCCTTCCCGTCTTAGCTTGACACGCCTAGTGAGAGGGCGGTATGAGCGTGTGTTCATGACAACTACCCTCACACTGAAGACAAAGTTACCGTGTGGTTATCTCAAGGACATGGCGTTTGCGAGGTCGTTGAAAACCCGGATGTTGAGGACCTCCCTAATTGTCATCGGTATGTTACTTTCTTTCGTCCTTTGGGAAACTACGTTAAACAGGCAGTCATCGCCTGACCTCAAAATACCACAGGAGTTCTCTGTAGACCTGCCTGGCTGCTTGGCCATTATCAGTGGAGACACAGAAGGCAGGAGAGGAGAACTAGAAGTCCTCCTGGCGTCCATGAAAAGAAGAAGTATATTATCTGAGGACTTCTACCTTAATGTGACAAAGGACTGTCCAGCTTACATTGAAAAGAGAGGTTTCATTACAGCACCGCTCAGTGAGGAGGAAGATCATTTTCCCATCGCCTACTCCATGGTGATCCATGAGAAGATTGAGATGTTTGAGCGACTCCTTCGAGCTGTTTACACTCCTCAGAACATCTACTGTGTGCATGTGGACCAGAAATCCTCTAAAGCATTCCAAAAGGCTGTGGAGGCAATTATTTCCTGCTTTCCTAACGTGTTTGTAGCCAGTACATTAGAAAGCGTGGTCTATGCCTCCTGGTCCAGAGTGCAGGCAGATTTGAACTGCATGAAGGATCTGCTGAATTCACGGATCCAGTGGAAATACTTGCTGAACACCTGTGGGACCGACTTCCCCATCAAAAGCAACGCAGAAATGGTTCAGACGCTGAAGGCCCTCAACGGGAGGAACAGCATGGAGTCGGAGGTGACCAACGACTATAAGAAAGGCCGTTGGCTGTATCATTACAACGTGACTAATACTGTGGTCAAGACCGATGTGAAGAAGAGTCCCCCGCCCATCGGCAGCCCGATGTTCACAGGAAACGCTTACTTTGTGGTCAGCAGAGCCTTTGTGGAACATGTGCTGCAGGACAGAGAGGTTCAGCAACTTCTGGAGTGGGAGAGGGACACATACAGCCCTGATGAGCACTTGTGGGCCACTCTGCAGCGAATGCCCTCCGTGCCCGGATCAGTGCCCGCCAACATCAAGTACGATGTGTCAGACATGCAAGCCCTCGCTCGAGCGGTGAAGTGGAGCTATCTAGAAGGAGATGTGAAAAAAGGAGCCCCGTACCCCCCCTGCATGGGTGCACACAGACGAGCGGTCTGTGTGTACGGAGCTGGTGACCTGCCCTGGCTCCTGAGACAATATCAACTCTTTGCAAATAAGTTTGATCCTGATGTTGATGATATTGCTATTAGATGCATTGAGTCAGTTCTGCGTTTGAAGGCTTCAGGCCATGACCAACTGTAAACATGGATATGAAAACATTTTGTATATATTAATATGAAGATACTATGATGCGGTCGTCTAGAACAGGAGTATAAAACTAAAATGTTAAGAGGTACAGTTGGAGAAATGTTCTAGAAGCAAAGGTCCAGAAGATCATAATGTGACTATTCAGTTTGATTATAGAGTTGTTTCAACATCTGTACGTAATCAATAGACAACTGATTAAAAAACTCTTTGAAAAGAAGATCATATATGTATGACTGTAAATATAAATAATAACCACTTTGAAAAATAGGTCTGCATTTCAAAATAAGAGAAAATGAATGAAATGTGAAAATTGTAGATGTTCAAATAAAGTGCTTCAAGAAAAGCTTAAATTTCCCCTTTCCTGTTTCACATTTGGACTCGAGAGTCTCATCAAATATATAATAATACATCTAAACAAAAAGTTTTATAGAATCAATATCAATATATCAATATGTATGTATACTAATATATATATATTGTAAGTCGCTTTGGATAATATATATTTATTATATGATAGTCATGATATTTATATTGTATATTTTCAATAGTTACAATATGGTAGGTATTCATTAATACACTGAATTGTTTGAATACGATGTCCTTATTATGTTAAACTGTTGGTTGGAAGAAATGTTAAATATTTAACGTTAACTGCGAAGTAAAAATTTGTGTTTGATACTTTTTTTTGCATTGAATCATGGGATGTTGACTGAAACTGATTGGGTGGCCCTACCACCTATTGTGCCTCGTAATAGCGTTTCACATCGGCACGTTAATTAAGTGGTATGGGTTCTAAGTACATGAGACAGACTGGTTTAGTGCTCAAGTGGGAAGTATGAACAGAAACGAGTGCGCCCATTCTGGATCAAATGCTCAACTTTTGCTGCCCACTTTACTCTTTTTGGTGAACGACATTAGTTCCTTATTTTTCTCACCCGTCACTTTCGCTCGTTTTCTCCGTTTTTTTTTCAAATTTTGCTATATTTTTCTTCCTACCGTCTTTTTATTTGTAATTTGCTGCAATCTCTCTATTTTGTGCACTGTTGATTATCCTGCATGCAGAAACTCGATTGGTCGAGTAGTATCACGTGGGGTGGCTTAACTCGAATGCAATTGGTCTGTGCTTTAAACCATTACCGTAAAGACTACCAAAGCTGCGCAGTTTGAAAGGTGCCGCGTCGGGTTTCTGTTTTAGCTTCAGGTCCGGATGGGACGGCCTCTGGCTACGGGCCGCGGTCCGCCAGTTAGTGACCTCTGATAGTATATGTTTTTTATTATTGTCAAAATATGTTATGGATCTTCCTAATAAGAATCAGTCACTTACTGTATTTTGTGTGCCATCTAGTGGACGGTCAGTGGAAGAAATGTTTAAAGCAAAACACAAAATGAAATACATGACTTAATACTTGAAATAATTATTTACATCTTTTAAGATGTACTTAGTGTTTGGCCACTATACAAACTCTACCTCGACTAAAAGACTAACAAATTGTGGCACTTAAATTGTACTTCTGACGCCACTTATCGAGAGCAAATTGTAAATTGGCTTATTTGAGGAAATTGCACTTTGTTTCTTGCCCTTCTGAGTTTGTATCCCTATAGTTGAATGCACTTATGGTAAGTCGCATTGGATCGTCAGCTAAATGACATGTGATGTAATACAAATGATATCTCTTGTTACTAAACAACACAAAAACATGTTACTAAATGGAATGAAAATATGTGGATGAATGAGTTTACTTGAAAAAAAATGTTAAACTAAGTCTTCAGGTTCAGATCAATGGTCTGGTAGAACGTCTGAATAAGACTCTGAAGTCCACGATCCGTAAATTTATTAGCGAAGATGAACGTAATTGGGATAACTGCTTGATCCTCTGTTGTTTGCAGTGCAGGAAGTTCCCCAGGCCTCCACAGGGTTTTCTCCCTTTGAACTTTCGTTTGGCAGGACACCGCGGGGGGTGCTGGACCTAATTAAAGAAAACTTGGGAGGAAGGTCCGAGCCCCTGCAAAAATGAGATCCAGTACGTCCTGGACCTGAGAGCAAAGCTCCACACACTGGACAGGATGTCACGTGAGAATTTGCTCCAGGCCCAGGAACGGCAACAACGGCTGTACGACAGAGGAGCCCGGCTGCGACAAATCACACCGGGAGAAAAGGTACTTGTATTGCTCCCTTCATCCAGCTCTAAACTTCTCGCCAAGTGACAAGGGTCCTTTGTGGTCACACGGCGTGTTGGGGAATGATGTGTCACATTTTGATGCCTACCCAATGCCCAGGGTCGACGAACTCCTGGACCGACTGGGCACTGCATCTTTCTTTACGACCCTGGATTTAACCAAGGGCTACTGGCCGCTTCCTCTGTCACCAGAGTCCAAGGAAAAAACGTCTTTCTCCCCTCCGTTTGGTTTATACCAATTGACCACGTTTCCCATCGGCTTGTTCAGTGCCCCAGCCACATATCAACGCCTCAAGGAACCGGGTGCTGCGTCCGCACGCTGCGTATGCTGCCCCCTACCTGGATGATGTCATCATTCCCAGCACCACCTGGGCAGAGCATGTGCAGCTGGTGGGCGCGGTGCTGGAGTCCCTGAGGCTGCCGGGCTCACCGCCAATCCAGGGAATTGGCCCTCCGGGGAGTGGGCGACTTCCTGCGCCTATGATTTCCCTGGGGG